AAGTGGGATTGGGGCCTTGATCAGGGTTTGGTGTTTGTAGGTAAGTCCCTTGGCCTCTCTGAGCCTTAGATGGCTCAGCCGTCAATTTGGGCTCACAATATCTCCTTCAGATGTGAGGATACACAAGAAAGAAAGTGTGTGATCACTTCCTTGTGCTTTCAGAGAATGACCGTCACAACCCTCAGATGATTTTCATGTAGGCGGCTCCACCCAGGAGGGTGACTCGGGTAACCCCTCGGGTGTAGAGTGAGACCACCGATAACCATGATGCCTTCCAGCCATTGGGGTGTTCTGCTCAGTTACGAGGTCTCCTCTGTGTAGTTCTGATAATGGCACCAAAGCTTGCAAGGAATTGGTTTGAATACCTCGATGAGAATGGATTCACTAATGTTTCCCTCACTTGATTTGTTACATGCTTTTCTGACTGAGGAATGAAGTGGTGAATTAAACCAGTGTATCAGCCAGGAATACTTTGGCTGTGATGAATGGAAAAGATGCCTCCACGTGGCTTAAACAACACAGGGGAGTTATTGGCTCGGGTACCTGCAAAGTCCAGAGTTACACGTGCTCAGGTAAGGTTTGATCCAGGAGCTTAACAATGTCACCAAGGACCTAGTTTTATCCTATCTGCTCACTTCACCTCCTGAAGTGTTGATTCATCTAAAGCTGAGTCCCTTTATTAGATGCTTAGGAATGCTGTAACAAACTATCACAAACTTGGTGGCTTAAAACAACAGAAGTTTATTCTCTCACAGTTCTGGAAGCCAGAAGTCTGAAATCAAGGTGTCAGCAGGGCCGTGCTCCCTCTGAAGGCTTTAGGGGGAATCCTTCCTCGCCTCTTCCAGCTTCTCGTAGCTCTTGGTGTTCTTTGACTTGTGGCTACATCACTCCAGTCTCTGCCTCCAACTTCACGTGGTCTTCTCTGTGTCTCCATGTCTTTCTGTGTCCTCTCCTCTTCTTATAAGGACACCAGTCATTGGATTTAGGGCCCACTCTACTCCCAGCATGACCTCATCTTTTAATTATTTCAAAATAAGGTCACATTCTGAAGTTCTGGACGGGCATGAATTTTAGGCACTGTTCAACCCACTACAATTCCTAGCATCTCTAGGAGGGCTGCCCCAGGTGTTTTTTGACCATGGCCAGCAGGGAAGAGAGAGCATCTTTGACCCAGCATCCTTAGCAGAGATCCTGAGATTCACTCTGATTGGCCCAGCTTAGGTCACATGCCCATTTCTGAACCAATCACATTGGCCAGGGAAGGGAATGCCAAGGGGCCAAACTAGGTCATATATTCTTTGCCTAGATCTGGGGTTGGAATGAAGGGGGATGCAGAACTACGTGTATCCCCAAGAGAAGTCAGGGCTGCTGGGGAGATGAAGGGTGGATCTGAGAGAGGTGAGGCCTTCACTGTAACCAGCAGTGCCAATAGCTTTTAGCTTGAACCCCAATGCACAAGATGGGATATTGGTAGTATGCACAATGGGACATTGGTCATTTGGGTCATGATGGCACAATGTGGGGAACCACTTCCTTTGGGAATACTATACTTCCCAACCTCCCAGCGGGTCCTGTTGGCAGAGACCACAAGATCTCTGCCCCAGTTGCTCAAATCCCCTTCTCAGCAGATCTACCCAGCTTGGGATATTGTCAAAGGGATTCATCAAGACAGCTTCAGAAAACTCCTCCAGAAGAGGTTTACGAGCTGCTCTGTAGAGCCCCGGGGTTGGGGCAGTGGGGTGGAGGTCCCTCATCCCCCTTTGACCAGAGTGTGTCTGCTTTCATTGTTTTATACAGTGGGTTCCTAGGTACAATTTTCTTAGAACAGTATCTCTCAACATTAGGCATCCACATGCCACTTCCTTGGTTTTTGCAGAGCAGCCACCCTCTATCCTGCTAAGACGCCAACTGCCTGCACCAAGATTCTCCTATGTATTTCAATCAATGCCCTTTAAAACTTTCAGCCATGATTGTGAATGGACGACCAGTATCACTTGCCATGAATGGAAGTTTGCTGTAAGAGTAAGTGCAATGAAAACTAGAGTTTGCACACTTTCGATGGCCAGCATTGTCCACCCAAAGTGCAGGGCTCGAGTCCTGCTCTGCATGAAAGAGGAAACGGGGAGATGTAAGGTGTTAAAGCCAGTTTTTTGTTGCGGTGACCCGAAGGATCAACAAACTCAAAAAGGGAAGACTGATCTCTCGAGTGGGTAGAGCAGCCCCAGCCCCGCCCCATCCCCACTCCCTGCCAACCAGAAGTGGACACGCAGCACGAGGAAACAAAATAAAGCTTTGTTCAGCCACTGAGATTTGACGCTTAACTGTGTTGCCATGGCATCATCTACTTCACCCTGATAAAATTAATAGTCCATTGGCAGGATGCCAGGCCTTGGCTAACTCTGTTCCCCGAGACCTCATTCAATTATATAACACCGTCAATTTCTTGCTAGAATGTGCCATGCATTTTCCTTTAAATCAGCTCACTTTTTACTTAAATCAATTTACTTTTAAACAGGACTTGCTAACACTACCATGAGTGGGAAACTAGTATCTCATCAGTAAAGGAAAAAAGGAGAGAGGAAAATTAAATATCAAGAGAGCAAAATAATATTAAATAGTAGCTACAATTATTGCTTGAGCCTGAGGCTTGCTGTGTCTTTGTAATTAGAGGGGGATAAACAATATGCTTTCTCCTTGATGAATTAGGAGAGCACTAGAATGGAAAAGTGTTGTTTGATGATGTATCTGAGGTTCCCCGGCGGCCCATGCCCCACCCAGACTTTAGGAAAACAGACTTAACTGCCCTCTTTTCTGGGATGGTTTTCACCATTACCAGCCCTCCCCTGCTAGAACGTGAGCACTCGGCAGGCAAGGACTCTGCGTGCCCAACATCTGGCCAGGTGTGGGGCACCAGGCGGAGAGATGGAACCAATGCTTTTAGACTCGAAACTTTAATCAGAGAACCAGTAAGCACACACAAAGGGCGTTTCTACGCTGGCCCACAGCAACACTGGTGATTAGTTACAAACATAAACTGCTCCCCCCCGCCCCCCGATGGCTGCCAACTTTCCACAGCACCTCTGACCTCTATTTTTTGGTGTCAAAACTCTAACTGAACACTTGCAAGTTCCTGTTGCTACTTCACCCACGACACTCTGTACGCCCCTTTGGTATACAACAGGCCTGTCACCCAGACATGACAGAGTTCCCAAGGCAGAGACCACATATGTGCAGGGAGTTGAATGTTTTGGCCATCTGAAAACCAGTATGCTCTTCATTGTGGTGTGGGCCCAGTGGTCAGCCAGTTTAAGTTCCCAGTTTCAACAAAACCAACCAACAGAACTCAAGGTGCAAGGATTTATAAAGCCCAAGAGCACAGAGCACATAACTCTTTTAGCACCAAAAATACAAAAGATATTAAAAGTGAGTGTCCAGTGTCTTCATGAGATTCCGTTTGTGCTTCAGCAAATGTATGACTGGGTTACTCAGGGGGTGGGACACAAAAGCCCAGAGCTGAGGAGGTGCCACCAAGAGGGAGCTGGTCTTGCAGTTTCATGAGGTCTCAGCTGTGGACAGACCTGGCCAAGGTGAGCGGTTGACTCGAGGGCTCCAACAGGAAGGATCGTGTCCTCACTGGGCTCTCCAACAATCCTCAGTGGCCCGATAACTTGCTGTGACGTGAGGGAATGTGGCATTTTAAGATGTCACTTGTCAGCGAACAGTGCTGCTCTGTGAAAATGGGGCCATCCATTTCCCTGATTCCAGAAGCTTCAAGGCAAGGGCAGGGCGTACCATATTGGTACTCCCTGCCCCAGAGCCTAGCAAAGTGCCTGGTGAGTGGCCAGCTTGGACAAATGGTGAATGAGCTACATTCCAGCAGTCGTTTCCGTAGATCACAATTTTCACCACCAAGCACATCTTCTGTACAGACTGTGTTAACTGTATGGCAATATCCAGTGCAGCTTTCCTAACTGAATCTGTTTCCAGTATCGTGAACTCCCATGACAAATTGGGTCTCATATTGTATAACCAACAACTTTAAATGGGAGATTATGGGAAGAGGTGGCCTGTGTATGTGGGAGGGGGTTCTTCCGAGAGGTTTGGGAGATTAGGAGTGGAAAGTTCTAGCCACTTGACGTCAGTTTACATGCTCTTCTTGGCCTCTGTGGGTTAGTTAAGAAAATACTACAACCGAGCAGAGAGATTGCGAGAAGAAAAGGGCTAGACATTTTGTGTGTGTGTCTGTGTGTGTGTGTGTGTGAGGAAGACTGGCCTTGAGCTAACATCTGCACCCATCTTCCTCTATTTTGTATGTGGGCCACTGCCACAGCATGACTTGATGAGTGGTGTAGGTGCACACCCAGGATCCGAACCCACGAACCCCAGGCTGCCAAAGCAGAGTGTGCAAACTTAACCACTATGCCACCGGGCCAACCCCTAGACATTTTTTGTTTTTTTAAAAAGAAGCAAGGTGCTGGATTTTTGGAACCAAATTAAGCCAAGGACACTTTGGGGAAAAACTTGAAAGTTAAAGCCATGCTTAATATTAGTAAGAATATTAAGCTGCAGTAAATTAGCTGCAGTAAATCGAGGTAGAGGGTTGCTAATTCTTCTCTTCCTTTTAATGTATTTATATCTGATGCATATTTGTAGCTCACACTTAGTGAGTGCTTACTATGTGCTGGGCACTCAGTTCCAAGTGCTTTCATCTATTTATTTATCCTCACAACAGCCCTCTGAGGTAGATAACTAAGATTGTGCCCACTCTACAGATGAGGACATGGAAGCCCCAGAGGGGACCTCCCTGGGTCACTCAGGGAGCAGATGGCAGAGCTGGGATGTACCTCAGCAGACTGGCTCTAGAATCTACCCCTGAATTCCATGCTACCCAGCTTCTCAACTTTTGTGTTTTCATCGTTTTAATGAAATGTGTGTGCAAATTTCTTAATCTTTATTAATAAAGACATTTATTTATTTGTGGGGAGGGAGCTTACAATGGGATGGTTTCCACTTCAGGCCGCGGATGAACACGTTCTCAGATGTCTGGGACCCTGCTGCCACCTGGCAGTATTGCTACTTGTTACTTCTGAGCGTGAACTCGCTGATGTTGGCTGAGCCCTGAGCAGCAGCGAAAGGCTTTCTGACAATGTCGACACTGATACGGTTTCTCCTGGGTGTGAATCCTCCGGTGCTGGCTGAGATGGGCGCTGAGGCCGAAGGCTTTCCCACACACATCGCAGACATAAGGCTTCTCCCCGGTGTGAATCCTCTCATGCTGCATCAGATTTCCTTTCTGGGAAAAGGCTTTCCCGCATTCCGCACACACGTAGGGCTTCTCCCCAGTGTGAACTCTCTGGTGAATAGAAAGGCAGGAGCTCTGGCGGAACGTTTTTCCGCATTCCTTACACTCAAAGGATTTCTTTCTGGCGTGAGTTTTCTGATGCTGAATGAGGCAGTTACCCTGGGCAAAGACTTTATCACACTCCTCACATTTAAAGGGTTTCTCTGCAGTGTGAATTAACTGATGTTCTGAGAGACACACACTTTGGCTGAAGATCTTTCCACATTTGTTATATCTGAAGGGGGGTTCGCCCTTGTGGGTGGACTGATGTTTGGTGAATGAGGCACCACGGATGAAGGCCTTCCCGCATTCCCTGCATTCATATGGCCTCACCCCAGCGTGGATCCTCTGGTGGCAAATGAGCTGTGTGCTTTGGCCAAAGGCTTTCCCACACTGGTTACACTCAAAGGGCTTTACCCTGCTGTGAATCCTCTCGTGCTGAGTCAGGTATTTGCTGCAGCTGAAGGTTTTCTCACATTTGTCACACTTAAAGCGCTTCTTGCCGATCCCTGGGTGCTCTCTCTGTTCCGGGTTATGATTCAAGATCTTCCCGCTCTCTTCAAGTCCTTGTTTTTCTCTGGTGTGAACGCTCTGGTGGCAAGTTAGGGTTGAGCTGCAAATGAAGCGCTCGCCACACTCCTGACACTCATAGGGGGCTTCCACAGTATGGCTTTTCTGGTGTTGAACGAGGTGTTCCTTATGGCTGAAGGTCTCCCTGCATTCGGCACAGCTGTAGGGCTTTTCTGTGGCGTGAGTGGACTGGTGTCGGAGCAAGTGGGAGGGCCGGCTGAAACTCTTGATGCATTTGTGACATTTGTGGGGCCTGTAGCCCATGTGAGTCCTCTGATGTTCACTGAGGTGAGTGCTCCGGTAGAAAGCCTTCCCACATTCACTGCATTTGTAAGGCTTCTCTCCACTGTGAACCCTCTGGTGGATCTTAAGGGTCAAGATATGGCTGAAGGGTTTCCCACACTCGTTGCACTTATAAGGCTTTTCCCCAGTGTGAACAGACTGGTGTTTGACGAGGGCCGAGCTCTGCCTGAAGGCCTTCCCGCATTCCTGACACTGAGAGGTAGTTTTTGCAGTATGAATTTTCTGATGCTGGAGGAGGTATTTGCTAAAGGTGAAGGCCGCCTTGCATTTGGCACATTCGTAGCGTTTCTGAGCGTGGGTCTTCTGATGCCGAATAAGATGAAAGGTTTGTCTGAAACTCTTGCCACACTCGTTGCATTTGTAGGATTTACCACCTGTGTGGGTTTTCTGATGCTCAACAGGCTGTGTGCCGTGACCGGATGGACAGATGCTGTCTTGATGCTTACATGGTTTTTCTCCAGTGTGAACTTTCTGATGCCACAGAAGGTGTGTATTCTGACTAAAAGTTTTCCCACACTTATTACACCCATAGGATTTGTAGCCTGTGTGAGTCGTCGGACGCACAGAGAGGCAAGACCTCTGGCTTAAACCTTTCTCATATCCCTGATTCACAGTAGGTTTCTCCCTGACATGAGTAATCCAGTGCTGAATTAGATCGTAACTCCGGCTGAAGCTCTTCTCACATTCACTACATTTATTTGGCTTCTCCCCTCCCTGGACAGTAGTATCCTGCTGGCTCTGGTCTGAGTAGCAGCCAAAGTCATTCCTACATTCCTGAGACTTAGCTGCTGTCACGCTCTTTTCAGGAAGATCAGGCATCATGGATTCCTTTCCTGGGAAGAGGCAGGACTCGGGACTGGGGCCTCTCCTGAGTTCGTGACTCTTGCATTCTGTGGGACTTTCCTTGTTGGTGACCATGTCAGACCTCAGAAGACTCTCTGGATCTCCTAGCAAACTGTCTAACCAGCTCTCACCTATGCAAGCTTCTCCCAAATTGGAGTTCCAGAGGCTGTCCTTGGAGAACGTCTCCATCATCTCCTGGGAGAGCCCTTCTTCCAAGAAGTCCTGATGCCGAGGAGAGTTCTTGGTCTCAGCCTTGTCTGAAAGAGAGGGACAGAGCAAATGTCTCCTGTTCCCCAGGGTGAAAAGACAGGAGCTGCAGGGTGAGGACACAGACAAAAGGAAGAACAGGTGACGGGTCCTGAGCCAAGCCTGTCCATCAGGGGGACGAAGGAGAAGGGGCCAGAGTGGTGATCCAGCTGGCACCAGCATCACAGGAAGCAAAGAGCTCATTTCCAGGAGCGTTAAGAGGGGAGCTGGGCAACCGCAGTGGCTCCACAGGGAAGGGGAGCCCCTCCACGGATACGCTCCCCCCTCACCCTCATCCGCTAAGGCCTACTTCCTGGAGAAGTGCACTGTGCAAGGGGGAAAGAGATATAAATGATAACAATGCAATACAGTTGCAACCACTGGGGGATGTATTTGGTTGGTAGTAAAGGCATGGCTACACATGCTCAGAAACAGCCTACATGTCGAGGTGGCAGAAACAGAAATCTGGGGTTGCGGGAGTCTGTGCCTGGGTTAGTCACCCATGTGAAAACACTGGTGGCTGCAGAGGGCTCCTGCTTACCAGCTCACGAGAGGGGAGCCAAGGACAGAGCTGCATGCTGAGCGGGTAGGGTGGAGGCTGACTGAGCCGTGCAGCCAGCACCCTGTGTTCTCTAGTTCGCCCTTCTCCTCGTGATAATGATCGAACAATGAGAAAAGCCTCCCGTGCCCAGGGCAAGGCCCCTGCCTCTGCTTTCTCCCACTGGAGACGTCTCAACCAACTCAACCTGATCCCCCTGGAGGAACCGTGGCCTGGGAGAGGGCAGAGTGCATGCCCTGGGCAGTGATTAGGCCCAGGCTTGAGTTACTACCAGATGTGGTCACCAGCTGTGCTCCATGGACCAGGAAGGAGGGATGGGCCTGTATAAAGGGGGGTGAAACAGGTAGACCAGGGTTCCACAGTGCTCAGGGGGCACAAGGCGGGAAGATAGAGAGACCAACATGGGGAACAGAAGGCCGCCCTTGCTGAGTCTGCAAGGACCAAGGAGAGGACAGAAGAAGGGCACCAGGATGGCCATGTGCCAAGTGCAGAGGTAACGGAAACAAGGCGGGCATGCAGAGTGAGGGGGCCGATCCCTGTCGGGATGAGGGGACAGAAGGCAGCATGCGGAAGAGTGAGGCCCAGAAGCCGGGGATCACGATGGGTGGGTAGACACGCAGGGTCTGGGTGGAGGTTCTGAAGACGGAGGACACACAAAGAGCCACGCCCAGGACCCCACCGCCCTCCGCCAGGCACCGGTGGCCCCTCCCCGCCCACTCACCAGGGCCAGTCACTTCCAGACATCTGCTCACCGGGGCCTCCAGCTCTTCCCCACCATCCGGATGGGAGGTCGGTTTGGGTCTAGGGGGGTCTGCAGGGAGAGAGCGGCATTGTCATCAACCAGGATGCGGAGGGACATGCAGCTGCTGAGCGGGAACCTTCCGGCTCTCCCGACTATTTGATGCTTTACCCAGCACACACTCCTGGGGGCCAGAGGCCTGCCCTGCAGGGGTCCCACTGGAAGGAAGGGGTCTTCCTTCCAGTGAAGGAGAGGGACTCAGACAGTCATACGTAATCCAGGGTGATGCGAGCTGTGACAGCTGGGGCTGGGGACATAAAGAACTTGCAACAGCTCAAGGGACGAGCAGAGTTCTCCAGATGGAGACGGATGTACTTAGCCATTCACGCTTCACTCATTCACCCGTGGACCACACATTGCCTGAGGCCTCCGCAGGCCAGGCCCTGTGATGAAGATGTTCGGGTCCCAGAGCCCAATGGGTCCTGTGCCCTGCCCTCTGCAAACTCCTCGAGGAAGAGAGCACAGAGGCCCAATCCCAGGGATATGTGCTACAGTGGAGGAAAACCCACTGCTGGCTTTGAAGATGAAGTAAGGGGCCGTGAGCCATGCCATGCAGGCGGTTCTAGAAGCCGAAGAAAGGCAAGGAAACGGATTCTCCCCTGTAGCTTCCAGAAGGAACCAACTCTGCCGACACCTGGATTTTAGCCCGCTGAGACCCATTTCAAACTTCTGACCTCCAGAAGTGTAAGAGAAGAAATGTGTGTTGTTTTAAGCCACTACATTAGTGGCATTTGTAAGATCACCCACGGGAAACTAATACACTCTTCAGGTAAACACACAAACGTGTGCAGAGGAGTCAAGGAAACATATTTCCACTGTGGACTGAAGTTTAAAAATTGAAAAGACAATGAGATCAGAACTTCCCTACACCGCTTCTGTAGCACACACTGAGTACAGTTTGGAGAAAATCTGTCCCACTATGGTAAAATTACATCAAATGAGAGTTCTTAGTGTGTAATCTTAGTTTTTTCATCTTTTGGAGTAAATTCTTCTTCTGTTTTTGGAAAAGAAAGAACTGAGGAACTAGAGAGGGAAATGAGTCAGTCAGGATGAGGTGACACTGGTGCAGAGCCGGGGTGACATGGCCCTGGAGCTGCACAGGACCACACTGGAGCGTCGGCCCCGTCTTGTGCTTCCTGTGCAACGCCGGCGCCCACAGCTGTGAGGAGGGTTAACCCAGCAGGCCCCAGGCTGCTCTCCTTGGAAAGGCCTGCTCGAGGCTGGCCCTTGGCTGGCGTCTGTGAACCTGGATTTCGGGAGGGTTCCAGCATTCCCTAACCAACAAGAGGGGCTCCCTGTGCCCAAACTATTACGCTGAACATCTGCTTTCCTTCTGGGGAGCCTAGAATTTTGGTATGTTCCAGGCAGAGGGTGCCTATGTGACCAGTCCCCAGTAAAAATGCTGGGTGTGGAGGCTCTGACAAGCGTCCCTGGTAGACAACATTTCACACGAGTTGTCACACCTTGTTGCACATCCTGTGTGACTCCACGGGGAAAGGACTCCAGAGCCGGCGCTGGTCTCCCCTGGACTCACCCCACGCGCCTATCCCTTTGCTGACTGCTCTGTGTCCTTTCGCTGTGACGAATCATGGCCATGAGTATGACAATATGCTAAGTCCTGCGAGTCCTCCAGTAAATCACCGAATCTGGGGGTGGTCCCAGGGACCCCAACACGGCTGGGAAGGTGACTTCCCCCCTTTGAGCAAAACTTCCTCTTGGGGTGAGGATTGAAGGAGAGAGTTCTAAGAGCTCCCCCAGCACAGGACCTGGCTTCTGACACAGCATCTCCTGCCACACACTCATTTATTAATGTAGGAACCATTGATTGAGTCCCCATAGCAGCAAACACTGGGGGCACACCAGCAAACAGCACAGGTGAAGAGTCCCTGCCCTCGGAAGCTTCCATCTAGCAGAGGAAGACAGATCATGAAGTGAGCAGGTAGAAAGGGAAGGAGCGGTGGACCAGTCGAGCAGGAGAGAGGAAGAGTGCTAATGGGGTCACAGTTGAGGTCTTAAAAAGGGAAGCCCCGAGGCAAGGAAGGGACGAGAGTCTTCTAGGCAGAGGGGAGAGCAAATGTGAAGACCCCAAGTGTCAGCTCGAGGAGTCACTTTAAAATGACAAAGAGGAAAGTGCGGCTGAGGCTAGAGCGGCGGGAGGGGCTGGATCAGGGTTTCTCAAGCACGGCACTAGTGACATTTGGGGTTGGATGATCCTTGGTGGGGCGGGGGCTGCCCTTGCATTGTAGGATGTGTGCCAGCATCCCTGGGCTTACCCACTAGTTGCAAGGAGCACACCCCCTGAAGTGGTGACAATCAAAAAGGTTACCAGGCATTGCCAATGTCTCCTGGGGGCAGAATGGGCCAGCTGAGCACCGCTGGGCTAGATCTTGCTGGTTCTGAGTGCTCAGGAGCTGGGAGTTCATCCTGTGGGTGACGAGGGACCACAGGGATGACCGAGCAGGCTGGCGCGGGTACTCACTCAGCAAGAAGAGGCTCTGATAGTTGTCCAGAGCCGTGTCCCAGAACAGGTCCCCCTGGTCCAGGTCCAGCTGCTCCCAGTCCTCCAAGGTGAAGTCCATGGCCACGTCCTTGAGGGTCACAAATTCCTACAACACAACATACGCTCAGTGACTCTGGGGCTGGGGTCAGGGAGGGGCCCAACGGCTCACTCACCCCCCACCCTCAACGTGCCAGGCCTTCAACAAAAATCGTCTCGTGAGGGGCCAGCCTGGTGGTGTAGTGGTTAAGTTTGGTGGACTCTGCTTTGGCCACCTGAGTTCGTGGGTTCGGATCCCAGGCGTGGACCTAGACCACTCATCGGCCATGCTGTGGTAGCAACCCACATACAAAACAGAGGAAGATAGGCACAGGTGTTAGCACAGGGCCACTCTTCATCAAGCAAAAAAAAAAAAAAAAGATTGCGTGAGAACCTTGAGACATAAGAGTGGGCATCCCTGTATTTTGTAGACAAAGACACGGAATCTTGGAGAGAGGACATGATGTCCCCTCAAGGTCACACAGGCAGGACTTAAACCCAGGTCTGCCTGATCCTAAAATCCATTTATTTTTGGCTTTTGCTTTTTTTTAGGGTTTGTTCAAGATTTTAAGTTTTTATCATGGACATTTTCAAACATACACACAAGTAGAGATGCGTGTAACAGACCACCATGTATCCATCACCCAACTTCAACCCCATTGACATTTCTCTATTTTGTTCATTACGCCTCTTTCCCCATTTTTTTTTTTTGGCTAAAATATTTCAAAGTTAATCCCAGGCAGCATCCAATTTCCCCTGTATTCCGTATTAACAGTAATTCCTAAATATCACTTAATACCCAGACCATATTCAAAGTCTGTATTCAGATTTGCCTGACATCTCAATGCTGGTTTTTTCCAATTTTTTTTATTGTGATAAAATACACACAAAATCTACCACCTTAACCATGTTCTCGTGTACAGTTCAGTGGCATTAAGTACATTCACACTGCTGTGTAATCCTCACCACCATCCATCTCCAGAATTCTCTTCATCTTCCAGACTGAAATTCTGTCCCCATTAAACACTAACGCCCCATTCCCCTTGGCCCCGGCCCCTGGCAGCCACCATTCTGCATTCTGCCTCTATGACTCTGACGACTCTAGGTTCACTGGTGTTTTTATAGTTGGCTTGTCTGAATCAGAATCCAGGGAGGCCCACACCCTGCATGGGGCTGATATGGCTCTGAAGATTTTCAATTTGATTAAAAGACAGATGTCCATACAAGGGTCTACAAGGCTCTAATGATCTGGGGCCCAGCTGCCCCTCAGAGCTCATCTCCTCCCACACTCCTGCACGTCCACTCTGCTCCAGCCACACCAGTTTCCTTGCTGGTCCCTAAGCAAGCCCACCCTGCTCCCCGCTCAGAACCCAAGATCAGCTCCCTCAGTCTTCAAACGCCTCTTCTCCATGAGGCCTTCTCCAAGCCCTCTGTATAAAACAGCAAACCCACCCTGGCCCTCACCCCTTCCCTACTTTATTTTCTCCACAGCTCTTAATAGCACCTGTGTTCTGTGGTTTACTTACCTATTTCCCTGGGGTTGAATTGTGACTCTCCAAAGAGATATGTTGAAGTCCTAACCCCAAGACCTCAGAATGTGACCTTATTTGGAAATAAGGTCTTTACAAAGGTGATCAAGTTAAAATGAGGTCATTAGAGTCACCCTAATCCAATGACTGGTGTCCTTAGAAAAAGGGGAAATTTGGACACGAAGATGAAAAAGCACGGAGGGAAGACAGCATGAAGATGCAGGGTGAACGCCATGTAAAAGGAAAGGCAGAGACTGGGGTGACGCTTCTACACAACAAGGGACACCAAAGATTGCCAGCACCAACAAAAGCTGGGGGAGGGGCCTGGAATAGATTCTCCCCAACAGCCTCAGAAGGAACTGACCCTGCTGACATCTTGATTTCAGATGTCTAGGCTCCAGAATGGCAAGACAATAAACTTCTGTCATTCGAGCCCCCCCAGTTTATAGTACTTTGTTACAGCAGCTCTAATGAATAAATACACTGTCACCCCCCAATAACAAGAGAGCTTCATGAGGCCGGGACCACAGCAGTTGTTCCCTAGCGTGTAGATCCAGCACCTAGAACAAAGCCTGCACATAGTAGGAACGCACAGGTACACAGTCCTGGCAGCTGTTTTGGGCCCATGAGCAAGGAGCTCACCAAGGATAGAGCCAATATTAAGTGGGGCTGAGAGCCGGGGACAATAATGTAGGTCCTGATCACACTGGGGGACCTGGCAGATCAAGCCAGGCCCACCTCTTGCCTTTTTGGTTATGTGATCTATATAGTCTACTGACTGCTTAAACCGGTTGGAATCAAGTTGTCTGTTATTGGTAGTTCAAACTGTTGCTGTCTACATCCTGGCAAGAAGGATGAGCCAAAGAGGTTTTTTCGGCAGGAGCCAGATCAGAGGACCCCCAGGGGCTTCCTTTCCTCGACTCCTCGACTGTGCTGGGCAGGGCCCCTGGTAACAGTGGTGGAGGGGATGGGAGGACAGAAGCAGGAACTTGATCTGTGGGGCACTAGGGAGCCACAGAGAGTTTTATACAGGAGAGTGACAAGGTCAGAGCATTCATTCGTTCATTCATTCATTCAACAATCATTTCTCCTGTGTGCCAGACCCCACTGAGGATGCTGGGGGCACAGAGGTGTGTCAGACCTATCCCTGGCCTGGAGGAGCTCACGGTCTGATGGAGAGACGTCAGGGACGCTGAGAGTGAGCATGAAGAGATAGGGTTGTGAGAGAGGGGGGTATCCAGTGCTGTGTGGGCCAGGGTGGGGAGTGGGGACATGGCCTTGGGGTCAGGGAAAGCTTCCTGGAGGGGAGGACATTCAAGTTGGGTCATTAAGGATGAGCAGATATTTATTTACCAGGCAGAGGAAGGTCTCCATTCATTCATTCAACAAAGACCTGAAGGCTTCCTGTGTGCCAGGTCTGTGCTGGGCCCTGGGGACTTAGAGATGAGTCCAGATCAGCTCCTGTCCCCCAGGAGCGCCTAGTCTGGTGGGGTGACTGATATGAGCAGGGACAGCCACAGCCAGGTGGATCTGTGCTACAGTGGAGGCAGGAGGGAGCACTACGGGAGACCAGAGTGGGGAAGAGCTGACTCCGCCCAGGGAGGGTGGGGGACTGAGCTGGGTCTTGAAGGCTGGGTAGGACATGACCAGCCAGAGAAGGCGGGGAGGGTATTCCAGCAGAGGGAGGAGCCTCAGCAAAGGCTGGGAAGCTGGAAAGCAGAGTGTAACATTTTACCACCAGGCCAGGAAGGAAGTACTGGTTTTGTGGGGAGACAGAGGAGAAGACGGCATGGAGAGGGGCAGGGCCCAGATCATGCAGGAATGGGCTGAGAAACCTGGATTTTATCCTGTGAGCAATAATTGTTCCTGGAAGGGCACTGAGCGGAGAGCCACAGCCTGAGAGCTTTACTTTAAGATCATTTGGGGGCCACCAGAGGACAGTGAGGCCAGAACGAAGGCCAGCTGTCCAGCCTTTGGGGATGATCGGTTAGGACGGAGGGACCCTCAACTCACCTTGGTCATAGCCAACTGGGGCCAGAGTCCTCGTTTAAGCTCCCCCTCCTTCCCCTCCACGAGGCCGGCTGGCAGGGCTGCGGGAAGGACAAAGGAGCCGGGAGAAAGTCTCCTGTCCTCCTAGGCCTGACTCCCTGGCCATCCTGGAGGAGCCCCAAGGTGTCCAGAAGTAGGAAGATGAGTCAGAACTTGCGTCCCCCTGCAGGAATCACAATGACAACTGTATTTATCGAAACGACCCCAGCCCCACACTTCCACCGTGCGTCAGAACCTAGAAAGCAACTTCACAACCATCCTTATCACAATCAGTATACACGTCTGGAACCTCGGTGGGACCTTCTGTCTTGCTCACCGCTGTGTCTGAGCACAGCACGGTGCCTGGTATACAGTAGGTGCTTTTGAAATATTTGTTGACACCACACATGTGTCTCTAACTGTACCCTGGGGGGCAATACTGCTGGGATTTCCGATTGTCACCTCTAGAATCTGAGTCTGGGTGCAAAATTGTTGCTATTTCTACAACAGCAAGATTTCTCCAACTTTTCTTTTTTAACCATGACCCACAGTAACGAAGACAATATATATCATGAGTACTCATTCACATACATAACTAAACGAAAGCTTCATGAAACAATACTGAATCTTACAAAGTAGAACGTACTGAGATGTTTTCTAGTCTACTCTCTCTTATTTTACTTCATTAAAAAAAAATTATACGAGCCGGCCTGGTGGCATAATGGTTAAGTTCGCACACTCTGCTTCGGCAGCCCAGGGTTTGCAGGTTCAGATGCCGGGGGTGGACCTACACACCGCTTATCAAGCCATGCTGTGGCAGCGTCCCACATAAAATAGAGGAAGATGGGCACAGATGTTAGTTCAGGGCCAATCTTCCTCAGCAAAAAGAGGAGGACTGGCAACAGATGTTAGCTCAGGGCTAATCTTCCTCACTAAAAAAAAAAAAAAACAAAACTATAGTCACTGCCCACAGTTATTTGTAGCCACTGTGTATTTCCTAAGCAGCATGTATTTACAGAGTGCTGAAGGCACTCCACATCACAAAGCAACAATGACACAAGTCCACAATTCTTAAGCCTCTGAGGCCAGATGTGCTTTGAAATTCAGGTTTTAAAGAGGTGATCCACCATATATACAGTATATTTCATTAAAATCCCAGTGCAGTGTGAGCGGTAAGCAGATTTCGTAACTGAACACTTCAATTTTTTAGAGTGAAGGGTATAAATATTCACTCTAGATAGGATAATTAAAGGTTATAAATCACAGCAGTTCTGGTCTGGTTTGGGCTTCAAATTTATGGAAAAAAAAAATGTTTGGTTTTCAGAGCTTTCTAAATTTCGCAATTGCAAATAAGGGAATGTGGTGGACCTATAATAAGCACTAACATTTACTCACCTATGATTTTCCTCATCACTGAGGTTAAGCCTCGACTTGTGAGTATAATTCAGTCCACAGATGCTTTATTTGGCCCACACAGTGATGGCAGATAGAATGTGATAGAATGTTTTTTTTAAGGAAAGATTTGCCCTAACGTCTGTTGCCAATCTTCCTCTTTTTTTTTTTCCCTCCCCAAAGCCCCAGTACTTAGTTGTATATCCTGGTTGTAAGTCCTTCTAGTTCTTCTATGTGAGCCACCACCACAGCATGGCGACTGACAGACAAGTGGTGTGGTCCCATAACCAGGAAACAAACCCAGGCTGCCGAAGCGGTGAGAGCGCCGAACTTAAAACCACTAGACCCTCAGGGCTGACTCCAGATAGAATGTTTTGAAAGGAAATTCTTTTAAGTAGTCCCAAACTTGAAAACCGGGAAATTTCACCTAAAAATTTGATTTCCAGCTTCTGAAAAATCCTAGGATTTGGCCATGCTGGCTTTATGCGTTCCCAGGAAGTAGGTTAGTTGGGGACCATTTAAAGCTAGCTACCCCCTTAGAAGGGGCACATGGTCCCTGGTGCCCCACAGCCCTCACCTGGAAGGGTTCTCCCCTTTACCCTTTCTACCTGGCCCTCACAGACATCTGAGTTTGAGACCCCTGCCTACAATTTCCAAATCACATTCTGTCCACATCAAATACACTCTCAACCCTGGGAGGGAAGAAACCAGACCCCTGATGTGAAGCTAAAGGTCACGCAGCCTTTCAAAGTGACTCGAGCCAAAAAATCACGGGGCTGAAAAACCTTGAGCCCTGGAGTCCAGGAGTCTTGCCAATCAGTGTGGGATCATGGCCAGATCGTTCACCCTCTCTGCTCCTCAGTTTCCACATGTACAAAATGAGGCAAACACAAAGGATCCACACCCCCTTATCTGCAATTCTAAAAACCAGAAAGCTCTAAAAACCAGAACTTTATAAATCAGCAGCAAAACGTAACCTGAATTGCCACAGGCTATGGATAGTCTTTATTCCCTTCAGTGTAAATATTTACGCCTTTCCCAGCAGCAATATTCCATTTCGAAGAACTGCCCCAGATCCCGCTGGGGGTGTTGCCTAATTACGAAGTAGGCACCCTATTAACTTTCTCAAGTCTAAAAAACTCTGCTCTCTGAGATGATCCTGGTGCCCAGGGTACCCCGAAGACCAAGGAGCCGCGCTCATCTCTCTGCGCCACTGCGGAGGTTACGGGAGAAAAGGCGAGCACAGCCCGGCGCCTGCACAGAAAGCGCTCAAGAAACGTTACTTGGACCTCCTGAGGAACTCCCATCCATTCATCCCTCAAGATCGCGCCCGGCTCTGCCGGCGACTTCAGGCAACTCACCCCCTCCTTTAGCCTCAGCTTCCTCACCCCCCCAAAATAAATTAGAATCGCTCCTCTCCGGGCTGCTGGTGACGCTGGAGACCCCTTTAGTAAGAGCCTGGCCCGTAACAGGCTCTGCACAAGGGTTCAAGACTCCACGCAGACCCATCACCCAGGCCGACGCGCCCTTCGCCGGAGTCGCCTCATGAGGATTCCGACACCCATCAGAAGCACGGAGCCCCCAAGCCTCCAGACTCCGCGGCGACCCCAGCCCCGGCGTCTCCTCACCTCGAGACTGCCGTCCGCCAACCTAACGGACCCGTTCCCCGCAGGAGCCGGAGATCCAACTCCTCCCACGCGAGCGTCTTCGTCTTCCGGTGACGTACGAATCTCCTCACGGCTACTCCACCCAGGATCCTCCGCGCCAGCGCCAAGACTCCGTTTCCCAGAGGGCTGTGCGGACGCCTTCGCTTATCTTCCTATCTCCACCCGCTTCTTCGTCCTTAGAGGTCCCGCTGAGCACTCTGGGAAATAGAGTAGAAGCAGAATCGAGACCAGGTGGCGTCTGGGTATTGTAATCCAGCTTTTATTCCCGTTAAAGGACAACCTAATCAGCTTTCTGCTGCCTTTTCTAGAAGACGTGGAGGCTCTTCATTTCTGAAGGAGGCAACCAGAAGGTTGCCATGGAAACACGTTGAGGAGGAAATTGGATTCCTGAGAAGACAAGTGGACGTAAGGGGCGTAGTTCAGACGGGAGAAGTGGTAAATTGAACTGACTGATTGGCGGAGAGATGCACCGTGGTTCATCCCTCCTTACGATTGGCTCCACCTTGGCACATGCGCAGGAGGACCAGGAAGCGTTCCAAAGAGATTGGGCGATGAGGAAATAATCCCTCCCTCCGGCCTCGAGTCAGAGGGCAGGCCTGCCGCGAAGGCGTCTGGGAAATGGAGTTCCCAGCTAGGCACAGAGAGGGGACAGTGGGAAAGTCAGCAGCGCCTGCGCCGGCGCAGTCCTGCCTCAGGGCAGAGGATGCGCGCGCAGCGTCTTCCCTCCAGCGGAAGTTTCCGCGGGGCAACTGAGAAGGTGAGTGCCGGTCCCCGCGGAGGATCCCAGGGGGTGGCAGCGGAAACCTGTGTTTCCACCCCACTCACCAAGTTCAGAGGTGAGGGGAGAGCGAGATGGAGCAGGGGGAGGTCTCCTGATTCCCTACCCCCGGTTCGGCCGTGGTGCCTGTGACATCAGCACGACCCTTTGTGGGAGGCGGAGTCCCCGGGGGCAGAGGGTGGGATGGGAGAAGCCTCTGGTCCCCAGGATAACCCGCCGGCCCTTGCGGTCCCGAGCCCCTTAGGTTTGGTGGTGGTGGGCGTGGCTACGACCGAGAAGGCGGAGCTAATGGGGCGTTTGACAGACGCCCCTTCTTGGCTACGTCATCCATGGTTCTGCGGAGGGCGGGGCCGCGGCGGGTCACGGTCACCTAGACAACTGTCCCTCCTACGCCAAGGTGGAGTCCAGCCTTTGGCTCTTTTGCTGTGTTGTGTCTCAGGACTTTCCGGGAGGGACACGATACTTAGCACATAGCAGCTGTTCAGCAGATTTTTGTTGAATAAATAAAATAAATGGATGAATGAATGAGAAAGCCTGGCCTGAGTGTTGGAGCCTTGGGTTTAAGTCCTGGACTAGCTATGTGACCTTGGACAGATGGCTTCAGCACCCGAGACTCCCTTCTTCCATCCATATTTATTGAGGTTTACTATAGCATTATCTCCATCTGACCTATTACACAGTTATTTGCTCATTTGTTTACTATCTTGTCTTCCCTGGTTAGAATGGGAGCAGCCTCAGGTCAAGAGCGGTGTTGTTTCCTTTGCTGCTGGATCCTCAGTGGTTGGCACATATTAGGAGTTCAGTGAGGGCCGGCCCCGTGGCTTAGTGGTTACGTGCGAGTGCTCTGCTGCTGGCGGCCCGGGTTCGGATCCCGGTCGCGCACTGACGCACGGCTTCTCCAGCCATGCTGAGGCCACGTCCCACATACAGCAGCTAGAAGGATGTGCAACTATGACATACGACTATCTACTGGGGCTTTGGAGAAATAAATAAAATTAAAAAAAAAAAAGAGTTCAGTGAATAGTTATTGAATGAATGAATGAGCTTAGCACATGCTGGCTCCATAGCCATGCTCAATAAACATTAACCATTATCTTTCACTTGGGCACCTAAAGTGAATCTGAGTCAGCCTCTCCAACTTTTATTCACTTACAGCACACTGTTAAGATGGAGTTTGCAGCCCAGTGAATCTGAGGGCCAGAACGTGACCCCATAAAGGTACCATCCCCTCGGGCACATACCCATTAAGTCCTACTCCCCACCAGCTGCCTGCTCCCGCTCCATTCCCTCTGTGTTGCTGCTCTCAGACTTCCCTCCCAGGAGAAACATTATGGTGGGCATGGCAGGGTCACTGGGTTAGGCGCTTGCCCCATCCTGGAGGCCGTCTTTATGTAAGGGCACTTGGCACCTGGGAAATTCCACTTAAAGCAAAGCCATTTAAAACCGCCATGGCTTTTCAAACTTTTCATTTACGTAAGAAACCTAGCAGAGTCTTAGTGTGTTCGTCAGACTAGGCTAGACTATTCCAGTAAAAACAACAACCCCCGGATCTCAGTTGGTTAACATGGACACAAGTTTCTCGCTGATGCAGAGTGTGGAACAACTCTCCAAGGCAGCCATCCTCTAGGCAATTTTGATCGTGTGGCTTCAACGTCAATACAAGGGCTTCACGTTTGTCCCGGCCTGAAGAGGGACTTGGCAGTGACTCCTCTAGCTTAACAAACATGCTCACCAGCATTTATACCTTTGAGAAGATAGAGATGGCGGTTGAAATGTGATTGCCAGGACAACAAATTACTAAGTGATATGACCAATCAAATTACAGACTTCTTGGCACCAGTCTTTGCAGTCAGCTGTGGTACACAGCTCCTTTGTGTGACGTATGAGAAGGGCGGTTGTGCGGCACAGTGTGGTTTCTGCTCTTGCGCAGGGAAAGAGGAGCCCTTTTCTCCTCTGGCTGAAATTGCTTTCGCTAGCTGTTTAGACAGCTAGTGTTTTTCAAGGACAAGCCCTAGAATTCCCTAAGGCAGCACCAAGAGGAAACGGAAAGGCCTGAGAGGCTCAGAACTTACGATATGGGGCCGGCCCGGTGGCTTGGCGGTTAAGTGCGCGCGCTCCGCTACTGGCGGCTTGGGGTTCGGATCCCGGGCGCGCACCGACGCACCGCGTCTCCGGCCATGCTGAGGCCGCGTCCCACGTGCAGCAACTAGAGGGATGTGCATCTGTGACCTACAGCTATCTGCTGGGGCTTTGGGGAAAAAAAAAAGGAGGAGGATTGGCAATAGATATTAGCTCAGAGCCAGTCTTCCTCAGCAAAAAGAGGAGGATTAGGACGGATGTTAGCTCAGGGCTGACCTCCCTCACAAAAAAAAAAAAAGAACTTACAATATGGAAAGAGGAAAGGGAAGAATAGAAATATGAACAAATGGAATATAGTAAGTGGGATACAGGGTGTGATATGGTAATAACAACCACTAATATAAGGGGCTTTCCGTGGGCCAGGCCCTGTTCTCAGCACTTGACATAAATGTATTCATTTAGGCCTCAGCAACTGCTGTGTCAGATAGGTGCTATTGGAAGCCCTAGTTTCCTGCTGGGCAAACTGAGGCACAGCGAAGTTAAGGAACATGCCCAGCACGTAGCAGATCTGGAATTCAAATCCAGGCAGCCTGGGACCACAGCCTGTAATTTTTAAGGACTCAGTATACTGTTTTGTAATTGCAACAGAGACCAACCTTCACAGTCAATAAAGGAAAAGAGTTGATTAGACTTAGCCAGGCACAAAAAGGCAGATGTCGCATGATCTCACTTATATGTGGAATGGAAAAAAAAAAATCAAATTCATAATAACAGAGAGTAGAAAAGTGGTTACCAGAGCTTGTGGGGGGAAGGAGGAGATATTGATCAAAGGGTACAAACTTTCAGTTATAAGATGAATAAGTTCTGGAGACCTAATCTATAGCATGGCGACTATAGTAAATAATAATGTATCGTATACTTGAAATTTGCTAAGAGAGTAGATCTCAAGTGTTCTCATCAGAGAAATAAAAGGTAACTATGGGAGGTGATGGATATGTTAATTAGTTTGATTGTGGTAATCATTTCACAAAATAGCATTTTGATGTATATATATCAAAATGTCACGTGTACACCTTAAATATATACAGTTTTTATTTGTCAAAAGTAAATAAAAGTAAAAAGGAAAGAACTTTGTCTTGCAAGGTGAACTGAAGTCATGAGCACAGGTTTATTTTGACTTCTATTTTAATATTCCAGCTTATAATTGGTACTGTACACTAAGTCTTAGAATAAGGACAAATAAAATAAGTCTGTTTTTTTTCTTTTGCTATTTAAAATATAATTGTTGGAAGTGCCTGTCACACTGTCATCCTTGTTGATTTTCTCTTCTTCACTTATTAACTAGTTTAATCCTGCTCTTATGGGCTGAATTGTGTTCCACAAAAATTCATATGCGGAAACCCTAACCCCAGGTACCTAAGAATGTGACTTTATTTGGAGATAGGGCCTTTAAAGAGGTAATTGAGTTAAAATGGGGTCATTAGGGTGGACCTGCTATGGTCTCAATGTTTGTGTCCCCCCAAAATTCATATGTTGGAATGCTAATGCCCAGTGTGATGGTGTTAGGAGGTGGGACCTGTGGGAGGTGGTTAGGTCATGAATGGGGTAGAGCCCTCATGAATGGGATTAGTATTCTTATAAAAGAGACCCCAGAGAGCTCTGTAGCCCCTTCCACCACGTGAGGATACAGTGAGAAGTTGTCAGTCTGCACCCAGGAAGAGGGCCTTCAAACTCAACCATGCTGGCACCTTGATCTTGGTCTTCTCAGGCTCCAGAACTGAAAGAAATAAGTTTCTGTTGTTTGTGAGCCACCCAGTCTGTGATATTTTATTATAGCAGCCGAAACAGACTAAGACAGGGCCCTAATCCAATATGACTGGTGTCCTGTAAGAAGAGGTTAGAACACAGAGGGACAACCTTGTGAGGACACAGTGAGAAGGCGGCCATCTGCAAACCAAGGAGAGAGGCCTCAGAAGAGACCAAACTTGCTCATCTTGGACTTCTAACCTCCAAAATTGTGAGAAAATAAATTCCTGTTGTTTAAGCCCCCAAGTCTGTGGTATTTAGTTATGGCAGCCCGAGTGAATGGATACATTTGTCATAGGTTCTATGTGTGATTTTGGTTTTGACTTTTTAAAGTACAGTCATGTGCCACGTAACAACGTTTCGGTCAATAGCAGACTGCATATGCAACTGTGGTCTCATAAGATTAGTACCATATAGCCTAGGTGTGTAGTAGTCTATACCGTGTAGGTTTGTGTAACTGCACTCTATGGTGTTCACACGATGACGAAATCGCGTAATGACGGTTTTCTCCGAATGTATCCCCAATGGTAAGCGACACATGACTGTATTAGGAGTTATTTCAGAGATACACAAGGCTTAGAGGATAATGTAGGGAATACCCATTTTCTCACTAAATTAGGATAGAATTGGCTGTGCTGTAGTAACAAATAAACCTGGAAATCTTGCTGGCTTAATACAACATAAGTTTACTCGCCGATCATGAGATTACGATGTGGACCAGGCAGCCCTCCTTCATCCTGTAGCTCTGCCATCTGGCATATGTGGCATCCAGGGCCGTCTCTGCAAAGGAGGGTTAGACAGAGGAGGTACTCTGGCTCTTAACCGCCTCAGCCAGGAAGTGACTTCCAGTCACACCCCATTGGCCAGAAATAGTCACATGACCCCAATCTAACTGCAAAGGACCCTGGGAAGTGTAGGGGAGCGTGTGGATATTTGGCGAGCATTAACTGTCTCTCCCATCCCCGTCATGTGGTTCAAGAAATGAACGTCACAAGCACAGTTGAAGACCCTCAGTGCTTCTGTAAGTGGAGCAGTTCTCCTGCGTAACTTTCCTTGACCTCAGGGAATTCTTGTATCTTTCGTGAGGTCTCCAGTTTTACTGCATTTGTACCTGCCCTGGGCCATTAGGGAGAAACAGGTGGCTACAGGCTGGCCACAGTGGGTGGAACTCAATTTAGAAGTATCCACTTCCAAAGAGAGTGTGTTCCGGGTGTGATAACTTTTCTCCCTTTTGGAATCTTGTCGCCGTGGGGAACTCGGATGACTACTCATCGGCAGTGGATTAAGTTTTTCTTTCAGCTTACTATTTCCTTCCCCCCACTTCTGTTTTCTAGCATGATAACCTTCTGTCCAGACTGTGGTAAACGTATTGAAACAACATTCAAATTCTGCCCCTACTGTGGAAAACCTTTGTCTGCAGAGGAGCATGAAGGGTCCCAGATCTTTGTTAGACCTCTTGCATCATCCCTCCGAGGTAAGAACCAGGGCTCTGAACTTGCCCCTGGAGGAGGGGTGAGGTGCGTGCATGCGTTTCATAGTATCTGCACAGCACATTTCATATGTTTAAAGAAATAAAAGAAGAAATTGAAAAAATAATGAAGGAACAAAAGTTAGTTAGAATTCATCGGGCAGATTTGAAAAGGAACCAAGTAAAACCTCTAATGATAAAACATAGGGGCTGGTCTAGTGGCGTAGTGCTTGAGTTCGTGCACTCCACTTCGGCGGCCTGGAGTTCACAGGTTTGGATCCCGGGTGTGGACCTACACACCACTTATCAAGCCATACTGTGGCAGGCATCACACATATAAAGTAGAGGAAGATGGGCACAGATGTTAGCCCAGGGCCAATCTTCCTCAGCAAAAAGAGGAGGATTGGCAACAGATTTTAGTGCAGGGTTAATTTTCCTCACCAAAAAAAAAAAAAAATAGATATATATATCATCATGGCAGTCAGAAGCTCACTGGATGGTCTAAGCTGCAGGCTAGACACAGCTGAAGAGAGAATAGGGAACTGGGAGATAGATCTGAAGAAATTACCTAGAAGAGAGCACAGAGTGATAAGGTGATAGAAGATGTAAAAGAGAGGCCCAAGGAGGAAAGAATAACTAAAACGAAGGAAAAGTTTGCTTAGATATTTGGGTGATAGAAGAAGCAAGACTTGGCTGTGAGGGTCGAAGGGAAGAGAGTGGTTGAATATGACCTCAGGGTTTCTGGTTTAATGGTTCCTAGAAACGGCCTTTGTAACTCTAGTCTACATTCGGTCTTCCTTTCTCTAGGCTCAAAGAGAGAGAGGGACGCCAGTTCTGAAATCTCTCCCAAGAAAGTGAAATGGTCCAGCTCTGTCACCTCTCCCCCATCATCCATCTTCTCAGATGGTGACAGTTCTGGGTCTGAAGATACCTTGAGTCCCTGCAAGAGACCCAAAGGTGAGAGTTGGGATCACTGTGGACTGACTCTAGATAAGGAAAAGGCGGGCCATCTGACCATGTTTCAGGCATCATTCCCCTGCTCAGGCATCACCTACCCCTGCCTAGACCCTCATCCCAGCATCCTCCCCACTTCCAGGCTCCCCTTCCCGTCCATCTCTACACAACCAGAGCTGATCCCACCCCTCTCTACTCCCAGCCCCTTACTGTTCCCATCACCCCACAGTCGGAGTTCTTCAGCCTGGCGTCTGAGGCTCTGTATGGTCTGGTTCCTGTTTTAGCTCCCACCACAACCTTGTGCACAGAAAACTCACTTTTTGGCAATACTTTTTAGGGTTTTCAGCTTCCGGTCTTTGCTAAGTCTGTTCCCTCTGCCCAGGACACTCTCACCTCCCTGCTTTGCCTGGCATGCTGTCAGTTTTCCAACAATCAGAGGGTCAGGTCTCTGGGAAGCCTTTCCTGGGTGCCATTGGCTACAGCAAGGCCACCTCATCTCCCTCCAGAGCCTCTCTTCGTCCTCTTTGTCTGGGTGCCCACAGTGCCAATGCTGCCATCATTTGAGCACGTGTGTCTTCCAGGTCCCGTGTCCCTTTCTGCCTCACTTGCTGGACTGAGAGTCCTTCAGGGACCAGGTAGAGTCATCTGTGTGTGCCCCGGGCCAGCCAGTGAGCATGGGAGACTTGAGGATAGTGTGCCCGTCTCCATCCTACCTGGCCCTCGGATCTGAAGTCACAGCCCTTGGTGTCTCCTCTGTCCCTTGTTATCCTCCAGGCCCCACTGCCTCTTGCCATTCTGTGCCTTAGGTGGATGGTGGGTGGGAGGAATAGAGTAGGTAATATCTTTTCCTATGTCAACCTCTCACCATACTGCCCCATTGTCTTGCCAGTCTGGGAGCCCCTCGAGGGCAGGGCCACAGTCTAACAAATTTCTAGGCCCTCTTCACTCAGCACAAGGTCAGGTCCTGTTTCAGGATGTTTTTGGTTGAATGTCTGGAATGTCTTCCCACCCCCCGGCAAACTCCTACTCATCCAACAAGACCCAACTTAAATGTCCCCTCCTCCACGAAGCCTCCCCTGACTTCTCCAGACACAGTCAGTCTCCTCATATCCCTCTGTACTGCCCTGTCTCAGACTCATTTCTGACTCGCTGTGTCCAGGTCAGACTCCCCACCAAATGAGGGGCTCCCGAGAGAAGAGCCCAAGTCTGACTTATGTCTGGGTCCCCAGCTTTGTCACACAAGGACCTGACCCGTGAAAGGTCCCAGGAAGCGTTTATTGAATGAACTACTGAATAAATGACCAGTATTCTGAGTGTTTTCTCGGTACCCATCCAACTTTCTCTCCCGGATGCCGCTTTGTCTTTATTCTGACCATCCTCCTGCAGGGTCCTGGAGCAAACCCCCAACCCCCAAAAGCAGCCCGCAGACGGCCAGGCGAAGCCCTCAGACACTGAAGCGGAGCCGGGTGACCATCTCGCTTGAGGCCCTGCCCACGGGGACGGTGCTGACGGACAAGAGTGGGCGGCACTGGAAGCTGAGGTCCCTCCAGACCAGGAACGACCAGGGCATTCTCTATGAAGGTACGCTCTGGCCAAGGTGGGCAGGTGCTGGGCTGGGCTGGGCCGTCTTGGAGCCAGGGCAAGGGGTGGGGAACCCCTTTCTGAGAGGGGAAATGGAAGTCATATCCCAGCTGCAGACCTGCCTCTAGGCAGCTTTATTCTTAGACTAGGGACTGCAAACCTGCTCACCTACAGGGGCCGGGCAGGTAGAGTAAATGAGTGCAGGAGGCTGGGAGTGAGGCAGTTGGGAGTGGTGGGGACTGCGGTGAGTTGGAGAGCATGTGCCCTCTGTAAAGAGAGCACTCTTCGTCAGCTCCCCCTACTGTTATCATGTGGGAGTGCAGGCCCAGTGTGGCCAAATAAGGACAATGATGATTGTTCTGTGTACCCTGCAGAGACAGGATGGACACCCCCCCAAAAAAATTTGGTTTGACCTTTGAGACTGATGATGTCACACACACCAAACGATATGAAGGGTTTATGGCTTGCATAATTGAGGTCTGTGAGGAGAGCAGGTCTGAAATGCCCTGAGGGAGCAAGGAAAGGCCCCTGGCCTGGGTTTTTCTTGTGGTTAAGGGATGGGGCCGGGGTAAGGGTTCCCACACATGGGCCAGGGCTTCATGTTGTTTGAGTCTCTCACCAGCACCAAAGGAGGGAGTCCCTGGGCTTTCTTATCAGCTTGCCAGATGTGGGGCGGGATGGGGAAGAGGCAGGGCCGGGCTTATAAGCTGTCAGTAGTCAAACATCGAAAAACGGAGTCTGACACCTTGTTACAGTGAAGAAAATAATAACCGTACTGGAAGTATTAGGATTAATCAACCTAACATTTATTAAGTGCTTACTCAAGGCCAGCCCCTGTTCTAAGCGCTCTATGTGATTTTGTGGGGATTTTTGCAATTTTTTAATTGCAAATTGAGATAATTGAGATAAAATTCATATAACACCAAATTCACCATTTTAAAGTCTACAGTTCAGTGGATTTTAGCATATTCACTATGATGTTATGCAGCCATCACCACTAATTCCAGAACATTTCCATCACCCCAAAAGGAAACCCTGTACCCATTAGCAGTCACTCGTGTTCCCCCTCTCCCCAGCCCCAGGCAACTGCTAATCTACTTTCTGTCTCTGTGGATTTGCCTGTTCTGGACATTTCAGGTAAATGGAGTGACACGGTACGTGGCCTCTTGTGTCTGGGCTCTTTCCCTTGGCGTGGTGTTTTCAAGGTCCATCCATGCTGTGCATGTGTCAGTATTTCATTCTGTTTCATGGCTGAATAATATTCCAGAGAGTGTATGGGTCACATTTGGTTTGTCCGTTTATGAGTCGGCAGACATTGGATTGTTTCCACTTCTGGCTGTGATGCGTAAGCTCCTGTGAACATTTGTACAAGTTTCTACGTGACATGTTTGCTTTACACTTAATTCAGATCATTCTCACAACAGCCCTGTGACATCGGCACTGTCATTATCCCCATTTTGTAGATGAGGAAAATGAGTCCCAGAGATGTTCACAATGCCACAGATCTGGCTCCAGAGATCTTCCAGGTTTTCAGGAAAAGCCGGAAATCTGGATTCTGGTAGGAAATCTTTGATTTGGAAGTGCTGGCCGGCCAGATAGACGTGCGGGCAGTTTGGGCCTCAGGCCTCCGGTTGACCGTCTCTGCCATAGAGCCTGAGCAGCAGGGCAGGGCAGCCCGCGTTGGAGACAGACTCCACCCTGCGTCTGTCGTGACTTGGCTGCACACACTGAGTGAGCCTCTGCCTCAATGGCCCCACTGGAAAAGTGAGAGATGGTGCCCCGCCCCGGCTGCCTTCTGGGGCTGTTGGTCCTGAATCCTGAGGGGCTGGAGGCAAAGAGCTTGGAAAACTGTAAATGGATCTTCTGAGGCAGAGGTAGGTAGTGTTAATAATGGCAGGACAGAAGGACAGGGAGGAGGGAAAGGTGGAGGAGGGAGGAGAGCAGGAAGGAACACTGGGGAGCACCCACTCTGTGCCCGGCCCTCTTCCAGGCTCTCTGTGTATTAACCCACTTACTACCCCCAGCCACGTTATGAGGGAGAACTGGGGCACAGAGAGGGCAAGCCAGTGGCCCAGTGTCACACAGCCTGGAAGTGGCAGAGCTGGCGTTTGAACCCGGCTGGTCTGGCTTCTCAACCGTTACACCACAAGAGAGGGAGAGAGAATGAAAGAGAGAGGGAGGGAGGGGGAGAGGGAAGGAAGAAATCAGGATGAGAAGGAATGAGAGGAAGGGAAGGACAGAGGGAGGAGAAAGGGAGAGGCAAAAACCAACAGCAGGGAAGAGGGTGGGGAGAGAGAAGGGTGGGGAGAGACCGAGGAGGCAGGGAAGCAAGACAGACAGGGCGGGAAGCATCTGAAAGGAAGAAACCACACGGGTCCTCACACCCAGGAACCCACAATGAAAATGCAGGAAGGACATACTCTGGGCGCCGTGTCTTCACCCTTTGTGTCTCGGGGGAAATAACAAACTCTTCCCAGCCCCAGCCTGCCAGAGTCATTCATTCCTCAGCAGACACCTGGCAGCCGCCGGGCCCAGGGGCTGGGCATGGGACACAGTGGGGGAGGGGAGCTGCATCTCGATGTCCCTCAGGGCAGCGTCACCCAGGGCAAGTGGCCCTCGCCTTCTGCCAGTTTGCACAGTCATGGTGTGGTAGAATTTGTCTTGTGTTTAAAACAGTAAGAGTGAAACAGCAGCAACCAGAATTGTGACTTTTGTGACAGCGGCTGATGCTTTAGCCCACTCTGTGCCTGCCTCAAGTTCCTTCCATCTGTAACTCATCTTATTCCCATAACAACCCTCCAAGTCGGCACTCTCTTTTCCTTTGGCAAATACTGAATTACAATGTCATCCTTCCTGGTCTCCCTGGAACAATCTGGGAGAAGCAGGCAGATCCCTGCAGCTGCTCACCGCGGTGTGCTCGGAGAGTTGCTTGCGAGAAGCAGCTCGGGTTCAAGTCCAGGCCTGCCCTCTACATCGGTGCCCTTGTGGTCTGAGGTTTGGGGCTTGTGTCCGTTTCCTGTGGCCGCTGTAACAAGTTACCACAGATTTAGTGGCTTAAGACAGCACACATTTATTCTCTCACAGTTGTGAAGGCCAGAAATCCGAAATCAGTTTCACGGGACTAGGGTGTCGGCAGGGCTGGTTCCTTCTGGAGGCTCCAGGGGAGAATCGGTTTCCCGCCTTCTCCAGCTCCTAGAGCCGCCTGCATCCCTTGGCTGGTGGCCCCTTCCTCCAGTTTCAGAGCGCATCACTCCAGTCTCCGCTTCCATCGTCACATCGCCTTCTCTCCTGTAGTCAAATCGCCCTCTGCCTCTCTCTTTATGAGGACCCTTGTGATTATGCTAGGGCCCCCTGGATTATCTAGAACAATCCCCGCATCTCAGGATCCTTAATTTAATCACATCTGCAAAGCCCCCATTGGTTCTCTCTGCCTGCAGCCCCTTAACATGCCTGGCATGTCTCTCCCGACGGCAGCCCTGAGCCTGTCTCTGTTCCTCGGTGTCAGCTGCTATGGGAGAATGGCCGCCTCCCTTTTTGAGGGGCCCCCCAGGGATCCCCTAGAGCTTGTTTTATGTAGAGTAGCCCCCCCTTATCCACGGTGGATACATTCCAAGACCCCCAGTGGATGCCTGAAACCGCAGATAGTACCAAACCCTATATATACTATGTTTTATTCTATACATATATACCTGTGATAAAGTTTAATTTATAAATTAGGCACAGTAAGAGGTTCACAACAACAACTAATAATAAAATAGAACAGTTATAACAATATGTTGTAATAAAAGTCACCATAGATCTTAGCAACTTCAGCATGTAATTTTTTTCTTATTAAGTCGAGAACTTTCACCTTTTCATTTAAAGGAAGCACTTTATGGCTTCTCTTTGGCATATCTGAATTGCCAGCATCTTACACTTTGGGGCCATCAGTAAGTAAAATAAGAGTGCTTTGAACACAAGCACTGCAATACCGGGACAGTCGATCTGATAACCCAGACGGCTGCTAAGTGACTAATGGGCAGGTAATGTGTACAGTGTGGATCCACTAGACAAAGAGATGATTCACATCCCAGGCAGGATGGTGCGGGGCAGCATGAGATTTCCTCATGCCACTCAGAACAGCACACAATTGAAAACTTAGGAATTGTTTGTTTCTGGAATTTTCCATTTAATATTTTCAGACTGCGGTTGGCCGCAGGTAACTGAAACCGTGGAAGGCAAAACCACAGATAAGGAAGGACCCTCTTATAAATTAGGCTGGGGTTTCTTGGCCTCACGCCATTGGCATTTGAGTGGACGATTCTTTGTTGCGGGGCCGTCCCGTGCACTGTTTGGTGTTTAACAGCATGCCTGGCTCTGCCCACTGGATGCCAGTCCCACTCCTGCCCTCCCCCATTCGTGGCAGCCAAAACCATCTCCAGACATTGCTAGGTGCCCGCTGGGGGCAGAACCGCCCACGGTTGAGAACTGCTGAGCTGGGCCATCCCAGACATGCCCTCTAATTGTGGGAAGACTGACAGCTGGTACCTGTCGGGTGGAATCGCTATCATTTTATAAAGTGCCTTTCAAACTGTGCCCACGACAAAAAGGTTGGGGCAGAGACAGGCATGCCACACGAAGACATGGCAGAGGCAAAGACTCAGAGGCCAGAAATCTGAAAACCTGAGCAGGAAGCGCCAGGCTCCTGGGATTCCTGGCAGTGAGAGGGGGCATGGGGTGCCCAGGGTTCCCGGCAAGGCTTAGGGAGGTGACAAAGTGCAGCCAGACCATGTGGGCTGGTCTCCTGCCTCTGCCGGCAGCTAGTTGTCTGACCTTGTTCGCGTGACATCATGACCTCCTGCCTCAGTTTCCCCACCTGCAAAGTGGAGATCGTAATAATACCGACCTCACAGGGCGTGGTTGGGAGAGTTAAATGAGTAGAACGATGCTCAGGAAAATAGCCAGCACTGTATATGTGTTATTCTGGTTATGATGAATCCCAGAGAGCATTCTTGTTCCGAGCTCAATGTCACCTGTCTTTTGGCACCCAGAGGCTCCCACCTGCCTGTCGGCCTCAACTTTGCATCTGGTGCATGTAGGGACTTTCCATGTATTGGGTTTGCATCAAGCAGGGGTCTCACTAGGTCACAGACTCTGGAGCCCCGGGTTTACAGCCAGGCTCTGTGGGGGCCCTTGGCCAAGCCCACTGCCCTTTCTGGGCCTCTTTTGGCTCCCCTCTATAGTGGGAATTGCCCAGCTGACTCCCCGCACTATAGGCAGGAGGGCCAGCTAGAAGAGTGGAAGAGAAAAGCCCTTCACAGTCTGTGGAGCAGTGCAGCCAATCGTATTGAAATTGCCAGCTGTCCCTGCCTGCGTCTGAGTGCCAGGCACGTACGTGTCATCGTCCAGCCACGGGGTACCTCTGTGAGACACGTACTGTTGTTGTGCCTGAGGGGTGCCACAGCTCCGGGACGCCCCTCGACGATGCCCCCAAACCCCCTCCCCATAGCTGGAAAGGACCCCCTTTCCCCTGAGATCTCTGCCCTCCCGCATTTCCCTCTCTTAGGCTGGGCCCAGGTCACCCTTGGCCTTGAGTCTGTAAGCCCTGGTTCTGGCCCCGCTCCAGCTGAAGCTTCTTGAGGACAAGGATGGCTTCTAGGGAACTTCGTCACCTCCTTGTCCCTTAGCTCAGCCTCTTAGACAACACCAGCCTGATGATTAAGGAAGAGTGGGAAAGGAGAGACAGAAGGAGGGAGGACGCAGTGAGCCAACTGGAGTGGACAGCGATGGTGCGGTTCCTGGGCTCTGGCATGAGCTAGACCTGGGCCGAGGCGGCTCTGCGCCTTATGGGCTGTGGGCCCTCGTGCTAGTTATGGTGTTTGAAAAGCTCCACACACTGAGGGCTCCGGGTGTGCCTGGCGGGGTGCTGGGCTCTGGGACTGTGAGTGGGTTCACTGATCTGCTATGATCCCCCCTCAACTGGCACTCTTATTATCCCTCCTAGCCCGTCTGAATCCTTGCATCCACTCTTGGGGTGGGCTTCATTACTCCTCTTTTACAGACGTGGCGATGGAGGCCCAGAGAGCTTTAGCACCTTGCACAAAGTCACACGGAAATTTGATGGAAGGGCTGGGCTTGAACCCAGGTTGGCCTGGCACGAAGCCTCCCCTGTCACTTGGCCTCCCTAAGCTTCAGATCTCTCATCTCCTTTGTCAAATGGAGCTAACACAACAACGATGGCAACAGCAGTAATAATAACATAAGGGTAGATCTGCTTCCTAGGGCCGTGGTGAGCGTTAAAGGAAACCATGTGTGTAAAGCGCACGTTTAGCAGAGGGCCGGAATGTTGCAGGGTTTGTAATTAAGTAGCATGGGACATGCGTGCAGCGTGTTTATGAGGAAGAGCCCCAGCCGTCAGTACCCGTGGAGGAAGAGGAAGGAAGCGGGGGGGTGGGGCAGAGGGAGAAATAGAGCCTCGCTGCAGCCCCGTGGTAACCTCAGCTGGCCCCGTGGGGGCTCTGGAGCAGAAGTGGTCCTTCAGCATGGTTCTGTGTTGGGCCAACACAGCCAGCCTTTATTTCCCCCTCCATCGGCCATTGGCTATGGGTGGTCCCTGGATGTGCAGCTGAGGGGATCCCTGAGGGGCTGAAGGCTGCCTGTGACAGCACCCCCGGGCGGGGCAGGGTGGGGCTGGGGCACCCAGTCCCTCCTCGAAGGGGATCTGCATCCACCACATGGTACTTACCCATGTTTGTAGATAAATGCATGTAGCTGGTGCCTCAGGGGTCCCCAGGACCGCCCCGAGGCTCAGTGATGGGCTAGGAGGACCCACGGGCCTCAGCATGGAGTCGTTCTCACGCCATGATTCATCACAGTGAAAGGACACAGAGCAGTCAGCAAAGGGATAAGGTGCATAGGGTGAGTCCGGGGAGACCAGCGCACGCTTCCAGAATCCTCTCCCTGTGGAGTCACCCAGGATGCACAGCGAGATGTGACGACACGTGTGAAATGTTGTCTACCGGGGACGCTTGTTAGAGCCTCAGGACCCAGGCTTTTATATTGGGGGCTGATCACGTGAGCATGCTCTGCTTGGCATGTACCAACGTTCTAGACTCCCCGAAGGAAAGCAGGTATTCAGCATAACAGTTTGGGCACAGGGAGCCCCTCTTATGGGTTAGAGAGTGCTGCACCCTCCCAAAATGCGGGTTCACAGATGCTAGCCAAGGGCCAGCCCTGCGAGTAGACCTTTCCAAGAAGAGCAGCCTCGGGCCTGCTGGGTTAAGAACCCTTTTTGCAGAGCTGGATGTTAACAGAGGGAGAAAGAGAAAGAGAAGCAAGAACCAGTTGGAAAATGGGAAGGAGCGGGTCTTGAAAGCCAAGAGTGCGCTGACCCCGTGGGAGCCAGGGAAGCAGAACTGCTGCTCGTTACCGGGGAGTCTGAGGACGATGACTCTCCTTCCCCGCGATGATGACCTCGCTCGTTTGTCCCTTCACAGCCGAGCCCGCCTCCACCTTCGCCTGCGAGTCCAGTCCCCAGAAACAAAGATTCTCGCTGAAACTAGTGAGTGGCCCCTGGGGGCAGTGCTTTGGCAGATGCTCCCTGGACCTCCAAGCCCCTCTGTGGGCGGGGGTAGGCAGGAGAGCACGGCCTTGGCCTGCAAGGAGCGGTGGGACCTGGGGTGGGGCACGTCTTCCTCTGGGCCTCAGGTTCTTTGTCACGTGGGGCCCCTCAGAAGCTGCAGGCAGGTCCACCCCGGGGCCCTGCCTCTGATCTTTTTTGTGTGTGTGTGTGAGGAAGATCAGCCCTGAGCTAACATCCATGCCAATCCTCCTCTTTTTGCTGAGGAAGACTGGCCCTAAGCTAGCATCCGTGCCCATCTTCCTCCACTTTATGTGGGACGCCACCACAGCATGGCCAGACAAGAGGTGCGTCAGTGCGCGCCCAGGATCTGAACCCGGGCCACCAGCAGCGGAGCACGCACACTTAACCGCTATGCCACGGGGCCAGCCCCTCTGGTGCTTTCTAGCTATGCGATCTGGGCAAGCGCCTCTCCTCTGAGAGCTGTTTCCTCATCTGTGAGATGGAGCCAATAGTACCCACATCACGTGGCCCACTTACCCACTACCTCCAGCCTCATAGCTGGTGTTTATTAAGGGCCTACTGTATACGACTGTGCTGGCTGTTGGGGTCCAGCAGAGAACCAGTCAGATGGGAGGAGTCAGTGAAATCACACATGACCTTAGCATACAGGAAACATGTGCTCAAGGGGGCCGAAAGGAAAAAATAAACCGTGAAAGCGAGAGCAACCAGGCGGCAAGTCGCATCCTTCACAGAGGAAGTGCCTCATAACAGGGCATCGTCCTGGTCGGTAGCTTCCTCATCATCCCTGAGTGCTGGAATTACAGGTGACTTTTATGTCTTTCCTTTCATTTAGTCAGATTTTCTCAGTCCCCGGAAAAGCGGGACAGCCCGGCTGGTGCCCTCCCTCGGCCTGAGATGGAGCCAGCTTTGTGAGTCGTTCCAAGCCAGGGTTCCGGAGCCAGGCTCACCGATGAGTGACAGCGCCAGCTTGTTGAGAGCCTGGTCTATGCCCGCCCCTGGGCTAAGAGTTTCACGGGCAAGCCTGTGGGCTGGTTACTGTGTCCCCTGTTTAACAGATGAGGAAATGGGGACTCGGTCACTTGCCCAGGGGCACCCCGCATGCAGGTTCCTTCGTAGAAAGAGTGACTGAATGGCACAGCTGGGATTCGAACCTAGCTCTTTTTGACCCTGTGCTCTTAAGAACCCAGCTATGGGGGCCGGCCCAGTGGCATAGTGGTTAAGTTCACGTGCTCCACTTTGGCGGCCTGGGGTTTGCAGGTTCAGATCTCAGGCGTGCACCTACGCACCGCTCACCAAGCCATGCCATGGCAGGCGTCCCACATATAAAATAGAGGAAGATGGGCACACGTTAGCCCAGAGCCAATCTTCCTCACCAAAAAAAAAAAAAAAAAAAAAAGAACCCAGCTGTACTGGATTGTGTTGTGTTTAATTAAAATATTTGGTTTGACTGCTAGAAAAAAAATGACCCGTTATTAATAATGGCTTAAGCAAAAGTACTGTTTTATTGCTCTTTCTCTTAAAAGTCTGGGGTGGTGGTCCAGGGCTGATATGATGGTTCTATAAACAAGGCGCCCACTTTCCTTCTCCCTTCTTGCTCCAACATCCTCAACCCAACTTCATATCGTGAGCTGAGATAGCTGCTCCAGCTCCTCCTGTCTCATCTACATTCCAGCCAGCTAGAACAGAAGAAGAGGAAGGGGAGAGGCTGCCCCAGCCCTTTAAGGGTATAACTTGGAAGTTGCCCATATCTCTTCTGCTCACATCCTCATTGGCCAGAAGTTGGTCATGTGGTCATTCCTCACTGCATGGGAGGCTGGGAAATGTAGTTTTTAGCTGAAGGGCACATGTCTAGGGAAAACTTGTGGATCCTATCATAAAAGAAAGAAAAGGAATCTGGGCAGTGGGAGATAACTTGAAGTCTCTGATATGTGTTTGCATGCAGCACCCTAGGGAATTTGGTTCTGATGTGCGGGACTTGATGGGGAACCTGGGTTGTTGCTGGCATCACTCTGGGGTAATACATGGCCAGTGATGACATGGGAACCCTTGTCTACGAGATTCCAGTGTGACAGCCTTCTCCCCTTCCTGTCCCCTACTAGGATGCCAAGGATGGGCGCTTGTTCAATGAGCAGAACTTCTTCCAGCGGGCCGCCAAGTCTTTGCAAGGTATTCCACCGGGATGTGGGTAAGGGGTACCAGCTTAGTCAAAAAGGGGTACCTCTCCGTGAAGGAGAGGGAAGGGTAGGGATTAAAATAAAGGCCCAGATTTGCTCCTGTCACCCCTTGGGCCTCAAGCCTCAGAGGGCAGGCCACATGGGCTGAGACCAGCTCATACCTGCTCTTCAGAGCCGAGCATTAAATATTCAGAAATACTGTAAGCCTGTTGTCAAACATAGCCATTATAAAACATTAATTACATCAACTTACAATCAAATTAAGAACAAGGGTAATAAATACTCAAAATTCATCACTTCCAATTATTTGTCTATATTTTCTATTGTCTATACTCTTTTTTTTTTTTTTGTGAGGAAGATCAGCCCTGAGCTAACATCCATGCCAATCCTCCTCGTTTTGCTGAGGAAGACTGGCCCTGAGCTAACATCCGTGCCGATCGATCTTCCTCCACTTTATATGGGACGCCGCCACAGCATGGCCTGACAAGCGGTGCGTTGGTGCGCGCCAGGGATTCGAACCCAAGCCGCCAGCAGCAGAGCACATGCACTTAACCGCTACGCCACAGGGCCGGCCCCCTATTCTCTATACTCTTGAGGTTGTTTGCATTCATTGTATCTGTTTGGTGAAAATAACTATATACTGGCATGCTGCCGCATCTCTTCCCAACTCCACATTCCATGATCTCATATCTGTAGCTTGAAATTGGCCATGGTGGGAAGTATTTACACCATGGAAATTGGCAAACACTACAAATCAGGGCTATTTTTCCCTGGACAGCCAGTTGTTAAACTTTTATCAGCACACCGCCGGATCTGTGCCACCCAGCTGAGGTTCTGGAAGATGGACAGGCATCTAGTGACACTGTGGCTGGTGTAGACATTTCCTTATCTTATTAGCTCTACATGTGAATTCAGAAGTTATTCTGTCATTCTTATCCCTTCCACTCACTGCAGATTTGTCTGTGCTTTCGCCCATGTTCACACTCCGTCACCTGCACTCATAGATTACAGACATTCAGGGGTCAACCATGCCCATGCTGTCACCACCCACCTCACTGTCACCCACCCATGGAGATGGCCTGGGCTTGGGTGCACTCTGCTTCTGGTCTGAGAATGGGCTGTTGTCCATTGTGGGCTGGTGTTAGCGCACAAAGGGTGTGATTTGCTCGCCGCGAGACAAAAGCCAATCGTCAAGAGGCAAGATGGTGGAAAAGAAAGGGCAATTTATTACAGCTTGCTCGCAAGGGGGAAGATGGCTGACTGATGTCTCAGAGAACCATCTTAAGGGGGCACAAAATCTTACAGCAGTTATGCTGGTGGGTTATAGCGGAGGGGGTGAGGAATGTTGACCCTCGGGTGTTACAGACTGGGAGCGCCACACCACATCTTTCAGTTTTCACTAATGATGGCTATCAGCATAGACTCTCTGTTCGGGGGTCATCACATTCCTAAGGAACTTAAAAGAACAAAGTCATCTTCTTATCGCAGCTGAGAGGTACATGCACAAGCAGGGGTTGTAAAGTCCACAGAGCAGTTAGATCCCCTGGAGGGTGCATAGCCAGCTGGGTTAGTTAGTCAGAGGTCGTTCCAATTTACAATGGGGTTTTTTCTCTACAATATGGCTTCCCTCACGTCAACCTTGTCTTGAGCTGGTATCACCGGAACCAGGTGGGCTCTGACCTCTCAGGCCCCTGCCTCCCACAGTGAACAAGTGGAAGAGCCTGCACTCCATTCCCCAGCTGGCCGTCCCCACCTGTGTCGGTTTTGGGATTCACCAGGACAGGTACAGGTGAGTCACCTCACTTGCCACCCACCTCGCTGGCCCCTTTCTTTCTCTCCCTGTCATGTGCCCAGGCATGGTTGGGACCCTGGAGCCCCTGACCACTTAGTTGCTTCCTTCCTTTCCCCAACTTTGAGCCAGGCTGATCCCCCACCAGTCACAACCCTTAATCTCACCTGAGACCAGGACCTCGTAGCCACCCAGCCACAGTCCATCCTTGGTGACCTGTGTTCCGCCCCCTCCCCTGGTCATCTCTCCCACCTCCTGGGATACTCATGTCTTGCAGGTTCTTGGTGTTCCCCATCCTGGGGAGGAGCCTCCAGTCGGCCCTGGATGACAAGCCCAAGCACGTGATGTCGGTGAGGTCTGTGTTCCAGATGGCCTGCCGGCTGGTATGTTCCTGGGAGTTGCTGGCTCCCGTCCAGAGGGTGGCGCACTGGGTCCTAGCTTATCAGTCTGTTGTTCATTGATACATTCTGCCCGGGCCTCCCTTTGCTGGGCACTGGGAGCTACCACACGACTGACATAGAGGAACACTAGCCATTAGAACCAGAGTGACAAGCATTACCATGAGGGCTGTTCAGGAGGCCATGGGAGTTGGGGCTCCAGCCTCAGACTGAGGGGTTCACTTGGGCTTCCTGGTGGAGGTTGTTTCTAAGCCAAGAGTCAGAAATAGCAAGGTGCTGGGTGGAGTGGGAGTGGGGAGAGTATTCCAGGCCAAGGATACAGCTTGGGCAAAGGCTTGTATGGGAGAGAGAGCATAAGGCATTTGTTCAGTCATCCACTCCTTCATCCATCGTTTCATTAAATATTTATCAGGTCCCTTCTGAGTGTCAGACACTGTCCCAGGGGCTGGGACTAGAGTGGGGAGCAGCCCAGACTTGGTTTTTATGTCAGGTGAGAGAGGGTAATGTTAAATTAAACAATTGCACAGATTTGAAAAGTGCTCTGAGTAGAAATGTCCCCCGGCTGTGATGGAGAATAAGAGGACCCAATTTAAATTGCTAGAGGGGGCCGGCCCCGTGGCTTAGTGGTTGAGTGTGCACACTCCGCTGCTGGCGGCCCGGGTTCGAATCCCGGGCGCACACCAACACACTGCTTCTCCGGCCATGCTGGGGCCGCGTCCCACGTACAGCAACTGGAGGGCTGTGCAGCTATGACATGCAGCTATCTGCTGGGGCTTTGGGGAAAAAAATAAATAAAAATTATAAATTGCTAGAGGGATGAAAGTGGCAAAGGGTGACATATTAGGTGAGTGCCAAAGGTCTTTATGCTTAGGGTGTCTAAGCGTAAAGCATATGTGGAGGGGAAGGGGGAAGGAGATAAGGTTGGTGTGGAGAGGTGAGCAGTGACCAGATCATGCAGGGCCTTGAACACCAAGCTGAGGAGCTGGGACTCTGCCCTGAGGGCACTGGGGAGCCATGGGAGGATTGGGAGCAGGGGAGGGGCAGGGGCAGGGTCAGCTCTGGGTGCAGAAAGACCCTATGGACCGTATGGGGACAGACTCGGGGGTGGTGAGAGGGAGGCCGGGTGAGGTCGACGTGAGAGAGGATGAAGCAGATGAAGTCAGAGTAGGGGCTGGACTGTGGGGATGGGGAGTTTGTAGAACAAGCAGAACTTGGTGGACAGTTAAGCCTTGGGGTCACGGAGGGCTTGGGGATGTAATCAGGATGTAACTGACACCTAGGCAGTTCAGTATATGAGTCTGGAGCTCAGTGGAAAAGTCAGAGCTAGAGATAAAAATATAAATTGGTTAACTAAATTTAATTCTGCTCTCTAGGAGAAATGAGAAGAATTCTTGGATGTGCGTGGGTGTTGGGTTTCCTTTTTCTTGCAGCGGGGACAATCAGTAGCCAGCTTCTTCCCCCCGCCGAGTTTGGAATCAGCTAAGAAATAGATACAACAGATAGTTGGAAACCAAATATTAGCTTTAATGCTGAATTTTTTAAAAGCCTAATTAGAAGACAAGCTTAGTGTGCTGTCACGTGGGACTTCCTAATGCTTGGCTCAGAATTAGTAAGGCTTAACCCAACCCCTAGTCACAAGCAACACACTCTGCCCTAACAATGGGGGTCCCTTCACCGGGCTTTGCATCAGAGCCTTTTTGTCTTAGTCATTCTACTCATTGCAATGCTTTCTTTCTTCCCCCAGCTGGATGCCCTGGAGTTCCTCCATGAGAATGAGTACGTTCATGGAAATGTGACAGCTGAGAATATCTTCATAAATCCAGAGGACCTGAGCCAGGTAATGACCAGGTCCTCCCTACCCTGGGGGCTCTCTTAACTGAGGATCTCATCTGTGACAAAACCTCCGTTTATTTCACAATGCTTATTGCAGACAAAGAATTGCTATCCTTCATATATAAAGAGCTCCTTTGAATAAATAAGAAGAGATAAGCAACTTAGTAGCAAAATGGACAAAGGATAGGAAAAGCAGTTCATAGAAAAAGAAATCCACAGATTAGTTAAATATATGAAAAGATGCTCAACCTCCCTAATAATCATAGAAATGAAAATTAAAACATACTATTTTTCACCCTTTAGGTGGACAAAATTAAAAAGAATGATAATATCTATTGCTGATAAGGATGTAAGGAAAAGAGGAATTCTTTATATACTGTTGGAAGTGTGAATTGGGCAACCTTTTTGGAAAGTAGCTTGGATATGGCAGTCAAAATTTTAAATGCATATGTTTTTTGATCCACCAGTCCCTCTTTTAGGAATATATCCTATCCATATATTCATAGGCCTATTCAAAGATATGTACAAAATGTTCCTGACAACACTGATTGTAATAATAAAATGGGAAAACCTTAAATATATACTCCCAGTAGGGTACTAATTAAATAGGATCATAAAGTAAATTCTAATTACTCTTTCAGTTGCAAATGACAGAAACCTAATTTAACATGGCTTAAGCAAAAAACAAAAAAGTTAAGAAAGGGAGGGTGCAATTTATTGGTCCATGGAATGGAAAAATCCAGGACTTGACTGGCTTCAGGCCTGGCTGAATCTAGGAACTCAAGACCTGTCATTGGGAAGCTGGCTCTTCCAGCCCTGAGCTCTTCTTGGTTTTTTTTTTTTTTTTTTGTGAGGAAGATCAGCCCTGAGCTAACATCCGTGCTAATCCTCCTCTTTTTGCTGAGGAAGATGGGCTCTGAGCTAACATCTATTGCCAATCCTCCTCCTTTTTTCCCCCAAAGCCCCAGTAGATAGTTGTATGTCATAGCTGCACATCCTTCTAGTTGCTGTATGTGGGACGCGGCCTCAGCATGGCGGGAGAAGTGGTGCATTGGTGCACTCCTGGGATCCAAACCCGGGCCGCCAGTAGTGGAGTGCACTCACCCAACTGCTAAGCCACGGGACCAGCCCTCTTCTTGTTGTTACTCATTGTCAGGCAGACTCTCTTCCCTCATGGTGACAAAATCACCACCAGCAAATCAGGCTTAAATCCCCTCAGCTTAGCAACCCCAGTGGAAATGGATCAGGTGAGCCCCACCTCAGTCACATGAACTGAGAGCTGGAGAGGGGTGATCCCAGAGAAAAATCCTGGAACTGTATTAGTCAGAGCTCTCCAGAGAAACAGAACCAATAGAATGTGTGTGCACACGCGTGTGTGCATGTGTGTGTGCGTACTTGTGTGTGTGTGTGTGTGTATAAAGAGATATAAGGAATTGGCTCACACGTCATGGAGGCTGAGAGTCCCAAGATCTGCAATGACAAGCTGGGGATCCAGGAGAGCTGATAGTCTAGTTCTAGTCAGAGTCCAAAGGCCTGAAAACCAGGAGAGTCGACTGTGTAAGTTCCAGTATGAAAGCTGGCAGGCTTGAGACCCAAGAAGAGCCAGTGTTTCAGTTCAAGTCCAAAGGCAGGAAAAGACCAATGTTCTAGCTCAAGCCGTCGGGCAGGAGGCAGTCCTCTCACTCAGCCTTTTTGTTCTATTCAGGTCTTCAACTGATTGGGTGAGGCCCACCCACACTAGGGAGGGCAATCTGCTTTACTTAGTCTACCAATTTAAATGTTAACTTCATCCAGAAACACCCTCACAGACACACCCAGAATAATGTTTAGCCAAATGTCTGAGCACCCTGTGGCCCACTCAGGTTGACGTATAAAATTAATCATCACACGCTGACGAGAAGAAGAGGATGTAGGTCTCGCATGGACAAAACCAGCAGTTGTCCGCTAGATGCAGCCTTTAAAACGCAGATGTGGCTAACTTTGTGTGTCTGGCAGACACACACTTTACTTTTTGTTTTAAACTCAGTTTAGCCTCTTAGCAACCCTGCAAGGTGGGGACTGTTATTGTCTTCATTTTCAATGGAGACATCAAAGCGTGGAGAAGTTTCATAACTTGCCCAAGGTTGTACGGTCACTAAAGAGCCAAGCTGGCATCTGAACCTGGTCTGTCTGTCTCCAGAGTGAATGTCCTGAACCACTATTAAAGTGCAAAAAAGCTGGGTGAGGAGGTATAGTGTGATCCCTCTGGAAAACTAGAGCCACCTCCCCGTCCACATGTGTTTAGTGGTTATTTAAAGAAAACTAGTTGAAACAACACATAAGAAACTGTTATTATTGGTTACTTCTGGCCAGTGGGTTTAGAGGGCTGGAGAGTGATAGGGATGGTTGGTTTGGGTTCTTTTCACTTCACGCCCTTCTGTACTGTTTGGCATTTCGTTGTTTCAAATTGCACCCACAATTGAAATCTCTGACCCCAGAGCCCGAGCCCCTAACCTCCAAACTGTACGGCTTCTCCCCATGTCCACACAGGTGACCCTGGCAGGCTACGGCTTCACCTTCCGCTATTCCCCAGGCGGCAAACACGTGGCCTATGTCGAAGGCAGCAGGAACCCACATGAGGGGGACCTCGAGTTCATTAGCATGGACCTGCACAAGGGATGTGGTAAGAGGCCAGAGAAGGGGTTCAGGACCATGGCGATGTGCTGTCTCCTGCAAGGGCACAGACAGGAGGTGGCCAGACACAGGAGTCGTGCTAAGGGAGCCATAATGGGGATTCAGAACCATGGATAGCGTCCCAGTGCCTTAGGGAGGTGGGGCAGTGGTTCAGCACCAAGGACAGGTCCAGAGGTTCAGACTCAGGGTCTGGTGTAGACTTGGAACATGAGAGTTGTCCAGGAGTCACCCAGGAGAGGCTGTTGAGGAGGCAATTGGCTATACATGTCTGGAGCACAGAAATGAAGTCTGGACGGAGACTCAGATGTTAGCACTAGCTCAGAAGTTGTCAGCTGAAGCCCTGGCAGAGGAATGAGCTTTTCCAAGGAAAATGTGCAGAGTGAGAAGAGAGCACTTGGAGGAGAAGATTCCTTGAGGAAGTCTCAGCCCCTCTTTCCCAAATCCCTTGATTTCATGGCCATCCATGTGCCTGCTCACATTCTCCCACCAGCCTGAGCTCCCCGGGGAAGGGATGGAGCCTGTGCCTCCAGCATCAGGTGGCAGAAGATCTGGTACAGTCAACTTTCAGTGTTTGATAAATGCTTACATGAATTGTTGTCTAAATCTTGTTATTTAGGAAATGTAAGAAAAATAAAACCCCATGATCTCCTTTGCCTTCCCCTACTGAGGCTGGGTTCAATGCCCGTCCTTCTGGGCTTTGCCGTGCCCTGTTGTATCTCCTCCGTAGCTCAGGTAATCCCACACGATAACCATCTCCCCACTAGACTGTCAAGGGCTGGGACCCAACCAAACTCTTGTCTGGGATTTAAGAATATGGGATGGGGGGCCAACCTGGTGGTGCAAGTGGTTAAGTGCGAGTGCTCCGCTGCAGCGGCCTGAGGTTCGCTGGTTCAGATCCCGGGCACGCACCAACACACTGCTTGGCAAGCCGTGCTGTAGCAGCGTCCCATATAAAGTGGAGAAAGGTGGGTACGGATGTTAGCCCAGGGCCAGTCTTCCTCAGCAAAAAAAGAGGAGGATTGGCAGATGTTAGCACAGGGCGGATCTCCTCCCAAAAAAAAGAAAAAGAATATGGGATGGGGCTTGGTGTACAGGGCTCTGAGGATTCATTGGATGAATTGAGTGCATGAATGAAAGACAAGTAGATGATGGAGTGAGCTAGTGAAAGCAAGGATGAAGGAATGGCTAAGAAAGTGATTGAGAGTAACTGAGAGACTCATGAGAGAGAGAATAGGTGAATGGAAAGTGAATGAACAAATGAGAGCCCGTATGTTTGGATGGTTGAGTGTGTGAGTGCGTGGTTGAGTCAGCGAGAGAGAAAGGAAGGGAGTAGACCCATCAGTGAATGGAGAATCCAGACTGAACCACCACCTCTTCCCCTCCTTCCCCAGGGCCCTCCCGCCGCAGCGACCTCCAGACCCTGGGCTACTGTTTGCTGAAGTGGCTCTATGGGATCCTGCCATGGACAAACTGCCTTCCCAACACCGAGGAGATCATGAAGCTGAAACAGAAGTGAGTCTGGGGTCAGCGGAGGCCAGCACTGGCCCAGCACCCCTGCAGGCGGGGCAGAAGCCCAGAACCCAACCAGGAACGGTTCTTGGGTGTGTGCTCTACTCTCCATTCTAACAGACAAGAGCATGGGCTCTGGAGCTGTCCTGCCTGGGGTCAAACTCCAACCCCACCACTGCAGTGTATTGGGTGAGCAGCTTAACCTCTGCAAGCCTCAGTGTCCTCCATGAGATGGGGTCCTGTTAGTACCCGCCTCAGGGGGCTGTGGAAGGATTCAGGGGAGTCACATATACAGCACTCAGCACAGAGCCTGGCCTGTAGAAAATGCTCACCATGTGCAGGACACCGTGACTCATTCATTCCTTCATGGACATGTAGGCAATCTGAACAGGCCTGGGGCCTGCCTCAGCATCTGGCAGCACTGGTCACTGTTGTCCACGTTTCCCCTGCCTCACCTCTGCGTGTAACACCACCAGATCCTGGTAGTTCTGGTTTAGACATTCAGCACCAAGGACAGCGGGACGGACACGGGATCTCTCTCTCACACACACACACACACACACACACACACACACACACACACACACGGCTGGAGCAAGGGGGAGTGCTGTGCACAGGGTTCAGCACCAAGGAGAGCGGAAGGCAGCCAGAGCAAAGGGAAGTACTGTGCACGGGGTTCAGCACCAAGGAGAGTGGAGGGCAGCCAGAGCAAAGGGAAGTACCGTGCGCGGGGAACCCCAAGGACAGCAGGTGCAACCGGAGGGGAGTTGCTGGGTGTGAGGTTCAGCACCAAAGACAGAGGACAAGCTGGGTGCTGAGCGGGTTTGGTCTTCAGCACCAAGGACAGTAGACAGCTGGACACAGGGGAGCCATGCAGGTCCAGAGGTTGGGATTCAAGATCTGGTATAGACTTGAGGGATGAGAGTTGCCCAGGAGTCATCAGGAGGGGCTGTCCAGGAGACGGTTGGCCATCCATGTCTGAAGTACAGGAATGAAGTCTAAACGGAGAAGAAGATCTCAGCGGTATCTCAGGAGTTGTCCACGGAAGCCCTGGGAGAGGATGAGATTATCCAGGGAAAGTGTGCAGAGTGGGAAGAGGGAAAACTCTCCAGTGAACAGCATGGAGTCCAGCGTACTTCTCAGTTCTCAGTGTGCTGTGTCACTGGTTCACGTTGAGCCTCTCTCTCATTTTATTTATTTATTTATCCCATATCTTCCTTCCCTCAACCGTGGACACCCACTCAAACATACTTAATATACGTTCTACTGATATATTTGCCTAAACGTATTTGTATCCTTAAACTCGCATGATGATGGTGGTACTGTGTGTTTGACTTGCATAAATGGTATTCTGCTCTAAATCTCATTTGTTCCAACTTTTTACACTTATCACAATGTCTTCAACTTTAACTGTATCATTACCTGTGCATCCAGTGTCCTGCTTCTGACTACTGTTTTTAGACAAGTTTGTGTAGATATGTCTGTGTCGTCGAACAATATAGCATGGGTGTATTTAATTTGCATAAATGGTACTTACTCTAAATTTCTTTCTGTTTCCTGCTTTCTCTCACTCAGTGCTGTATTTCTGAACTTTAGTTACATTGCTAGTTCACTACCTCTGAACATTTCTCCTAAATTGTTTGTTTAGATGTATCTGTGTCGTGCTGTTGTCAGTTGTGTGTTTGATGGGCATAAATGGTGCCGTGCCCCAAATCTCATCCTCCTTCAGGTTTCAGCTCAATCGTCACTCCCCAGGGAGCCCGTCCCTCACCCCCACTGCATCAGGTGTCCCACTGTACACACTCAAAGGAAGGGATTTGCCTTGTCACGCTGGCCTGCTCAGAATGACCTGATCAAGGCTAGTGTTTATCATACGCTTGTCGGCACTGGGCACTGCGCCCAGTGCTTCCCTGTGGCATCCTCAGAACAGCTCTGAGGTAAGTGCTCTTATGATCTGAGGCACAGAGAGCTCAAGTAATCAGCCCAGGTCACACAGCTACTAAGTAGAGGCACTTGGACTCACACCCAGTCCATTCGACTCCAGAGAAGGCCCTTTCACCTCAAAGCTGGTGTCTCCCAAGTGTGGGAGGCTTGTTGGGTGGAGTGGTGGCGCTTGGATGGAGCCTTCCTCCACTCAACAAATACCTGTTGAGCACTGGGCTCTGTTCTAGGCCCTGGGGCTTCAGGAATAACTAAGACAAGCATCCCTGCCCTCAGGGAACTTACATCCTAGTGGGGGAGACAGACAGTAAAGAAATAAAGAATGAAACACACAGCATGTCAGAGGTCAGACTGGTGGGGTCGTCGGGTCAGAGCCGTGTGCATCCAACAGGGGAGTGTCAGGGCATGGGTATGTGCTGCTCTTAGGTTTAATGTCGAGGGCAGGTCTCATGGCAAAGGTGACAGGCGAATCGCCTCCAGAAGGGCGGTGAGGCAAGGAGGATGTCTCATTTTGGCACTGATATGCCCCTAACGTCTCTGCAGAAGGAGGGAGAGACAGAGAGAGAGGCCCTCAACTCCCAGGCTTCTGCAGGCAACCTCTGCATTGGAAGCCAACCTCAGAACCCACCAGAACATGAGCCCATTGCCCTTTTGTCTGGGAATTTATTTTTGCACTTATTTTCTCCTTTTCCAGTAGTTTTCCATTTTGGAAATGAAGCCAGGTGGAAACAAGTCACAGAATTAGTAACAGGTAGAAGGAGCATACAGCCCAATTGCTAAAGCGTTAAGTGTGGCTGAGGGTCTGTGAGCTGCTCCTGTACGCGCTTCTGTTGTGTTAGTTAGGGGCAAGGCTGAGTGCGCTTACAAGGAGACCCCAGACACTGGGGCTCAAACGAGGCAGATGTCTACTTCCCTCTCACTAACAGTCCCAAGGTAGGAGACCAGGGTGGTGAGCCACCTCGGCCCCCTTCAGCATACATACGTCCTTCTGTGGGTGCAAGCTCTTTGCCACCATCTCCCATTGCTTTTGAAGGGCAGAACTAGAAATGACATGCGTCTCTTGGTCATGTGGCCACGCAAGCTTCTGTAGGGGCTAGGAAATATCTCCAGCCTTTGGCCGCTCACCCTTGGGATTCGGCCATTAAAGGGCAGAAGAGACACTGGGTGGCAGGTAGCAGACTCCTCCACGGTGCCACCTTTAGTCACATTTCTTTGAGGGCAGGGACCACATCAGCTCTCTGTCACCGCGATGTTCTCAACACAGTGCTTGGCACTTTGTGGATGCTCATGAAATAGTTGTGGAATGAATGAATGACTAAGGAACGAGTGCACAAGCCTTCATTCAGAGGCCCGGGCTTCTGTGTGGACACACAGGTCAGGGAGATGCGGCCCCAGCCTTGGGGTGTTCCCAGGCTGGGAGGAGACACGGGCAGGAAGCAGGCGCTGCGTTTGAGGGTGGAGGCAGCCCCTGGAGCATTGTGGGAGCAGAGAGGAGGCACATGACGTGGCCTCGGGCCGATGGGAGCCTTTACCCGAAGGATGCCTGACTCGTTCTGTAGAGAGCAGAGGAGTTTCCCAGGCAGGCAAGGGTGAGGCAAGATTTCTAGGCAGACAGGATAGAACATACGTGAACTCTCCTTTCATTCATTCATTCATTCAGAACCTGTTTCCTGAGGGCATCTCTGTACCAGTCCCTGCTCTGGGACATGCTGGAGACCCAGATGTAAATCAGGGTCACCTCTTGTCATCAGTGAAACTGCCCGCTGAGCCTCCCCTGTGTTGAATCCTCTGCCTCCTACTTCCTCTAACTTCTAAGACCAGTCATATCTCCCCTTTCACATCTCTCCCACCTTCCCCTTCACGAGAAATAATTGATGAGTGTGACATGCTTTACTAAGAGGCTCTGCACTCGCCAAGCTGGTGCAGAGTAAATAAGATAGGTCCTCGTAATCATTTTAATATTGATGATTTCAGATTGAGTAACAGTTCATTCCAGAGCCCCGGATCCCAACCACGACCAGAGAAGGAAGGCCGGGAACATGACGATGCTCCCCAGGGAGATGGTGGCAGTGATGGTCCCCTCATTCTAGACCCCCCCAGCCCAGCCTCCGTCAGGTGACTTGAGGCAGTACCCAAAAGGCCCTTGAGGGAGCGATGTTTTCACATGCACGTTTTCTGGAACCCTAACCTCCTCTAGGATATCTTACTAATGTGCATGGCGTTTCTCCATTCGTTCAGCAAATATTTATTCATTTTTTTGTACATTCTAGCTCATGACTGAATGAATGAATAAAAGAAAGAGGAGAAATAGTTCGATTCCCAAGGCTCTCTGGTGTGTAAGGTCCCCTGCTCGGCAAGCCCAGACACGAGTCGGATTTGGTCTCTGCTCTTAAGGCTGCCGGCTGGGCAGGGAGGTCCCGCTAGCACCGATGGCGACAGCCTGTGGCGGCAGAATTGCTCACGCAATTTACAACGTCCTGGTGGCACAGCCCTTCGTGCCATCCCTCACTCACTCAGTCATTCACCACACGCCTCCTGAGGCTGCTAGGGAGAGGGTCAGACCCACCCTTGCTGTCCACGTGTCTTGACAGTTGCCGTAGGGCATCCATGGACCTGTGCACAGGGTTCGCGGGCACTCAGGAGGGATCAATTTCCTCTGCCTGGAGGGGTCGGGGGAAGCTTCCAGGAGACCCTTGAGCCGTGTCCAGAAAGGGAGAGGATGTCAAGGTGGGGAAAGGCCGTCCAGGGCAGAGGGAGCAGTACGTGCAGAGGCTGGGAGATGTGCGTGGATGCTTGACGTGGTTGGGGGACTAGAAGGAGTTTGGTGTGGCTGGAGCATGAGATGGGAGGGAGGAAGTCAGAGAGAGCAGGCCAGAGGGGCTGGGGAGACCCTGGAGGGCTGTGAGTAAGGAGGGGCAGGGGCAGGGGCAGCTCTGGGTGTAGAAAGACTCCCTGGGCCATGTGGGGGATGCTGGGGAGGAGGCTGGGCTCCAGGGGGAGAGGATGAGGCCTGAGCTGGGCGCAGAGCCATGGACAGATCAGGGGTGGGGCAGCGAGAGTCGAGGAGCAGGAGAGTGGGGCTTGGGGACTTCTGGCCTCTGGAGGGGGTACAGCACCCAGTGACTGGGTAGACGGTGGGGAGCCAGCCTGTGATCCAGGCCAGAGAAGATACAGTGGGCTGGGACTCTGAGGATGGAGCAAAGGAAATGGACGAATTTCCATTTTTCCTGAGTGATCCAAGGGGGTGTGTGTCTGTGTGTCTGTGTGTGTGTAGACATGTATGTGTGTGTGTATGTATGTATATATATATATATATATATATATACACATACACACACAAATATATGTTTGTTTATAGATAGGTAGATAGTCGATCCTCATCATTCACAGATTCCGTATTTGTGAATTTGCCCATTCATTAAAACGTATTTGTAATCCCAAAATCAGTACACGCAGCGCTTTCAAGGTCATTCTCAGACACTCGCAGAGTGGAGAAAATTTTGAGTCACCTGGTGTAAACGATCCCAGCTGAGATCGAACAAGGCGATGCTCTGCCTTACCATTTCAGCTCTCAGGCTGTAAACAAGTGTCCTTTTCAAAGTCTGTTTAGTATGTTTTTCACATTTTTGTGCTTTTTGTTGGTGATTTCGCTATTTAAAATGGCCCCAAGCATAGTGCTGAAGTGCTGGCTAACGTTCCTAAGCGCTGGAAGGCTGGGATGTGCCTTACAGAGAAAATAAGTGGGTTAGATGACTAACTTCGTTCCAGCACGAGTTATAGTGCTGTTGGCCGTGAGTTGGACATGCATAAATCAACATGATAGTAAATAGGATGTCTTTAAACACAAACACACATAAAACAAGGTGATGTATTGATCAGTTGATGACAGTGTTGTGACTGGAGGCTCACAGGAACCTAATGCTGTGTTTCCCCTAAAAGCGCGGTCCAGAACTCGCTAATTCAGCATTCGAGGCGACTCTGTAGAACATAAGCACTGCGAATAACGAGAATCTACTGTATGTCAAAAAGACATTCTGTTTTAAAAGGTTGCTCTCCCTTCTCTCAAAGACCTTTTGCATGTGCCTCTGCCCCGTCAGGTTCCTTGAGCACCCGGAGGGCCTTGTGGGAGAACGCAGTCGCTGGATCTGTCCCTCGGGTATGTCCTGAACCGGGGGGTGACAGGCGGGGGCCAGGGCGGGACCAGGTGGCTGGGTCCATCCTTCACACCCCTCTCTTTACACCCCTTTGTTTTCTTTCTTGGAGTTTTCCAAATTGCATGTGGATCTGTGCCCACTGTAGAAAAACAAAAAGTCTTCCCCCAAAATTCAGAAGTGTCTCTGAATAATAACAACACACACACACATTCACCTAATGGCTTTTTTTTCCCAGCAGATCATACTATGTATATTGGTCTCCAATTTGCTTTTATTTTCGTTTAAGGAGAGTCTATCTTCGAGACTTGCTGGGACGGTACTTGTAGAACTTTGTCGGTATTTTTTTATAATTGTGGTAAAATACACATAACATCAGTATTTTAAAACTGCAGTTGTGATTCATTAGTCAGGCATGAAATCAATTTAATGGGTCAAGAACAGGATTTTTAAAAATTTAAAAGAACAGACAGGGGCTGCCCCGGTGGTGCAAGCGGTTAAGTGCACGCGCTCCGCTTTGGTGACCCAGGGTTCACCGGTTCGGATCCCGGGTGCGCACCGACGCGCGGCTTGTGAGGCCATGCTGTGGCGGAGTCCCATATCAAGTGGAGGAAGATGGGCACAGATGTTAGCCCAGGGCCAGTGTTCCTCAGCAAAAAAGAGGAGGTTTGGCAGATGTTAGCTCAGGGCTGATCTTCCTCACAAAAAAAAGATATAAATGTCATGAAAATTCTTTGGGCTGGACCGGTGGCGCAAGTGGTTAAGTGCATGCGCTCCCCACTGAGGCGGCCTGGGGTTCGCCGGTTCGGATCCTGGGCGCGCACCGATGCACCAGTTGTCAAGCCATGCTGTGGCGGCGTCCCATATAAAGTGGAGGAAGATGGGCACAGATGTTAGCCCAGGGCCAGTCTTCCTCAGCAAAAAGA